TCCATCTTCTGCTCCGAAGTCTACTCCTCTGCCTTCCCCACCTGCGTCCTCTCTGCCTGTCGTTCCGGACCCTGAGTCTGACCGGTTTCGCGCTGAGCACCCCACTGTCACGCGTCTGTTAGCCACTGTTGTCACTGACCCGTCGTTTGAGTCTACTGCTGCGTCTGCCTTAGTCGCTGAGCTTGTTGACTTTGCTGCTACCTGTCGTCTAGACTACGCCGCTAGTCTTGTTGCTGAGTCTGAGTCTGTCTGTCCTCCGTCCGTCGGGGGTGAGTGTGCTCTTAGCACGGACATCCTTGAGGACAGGCAGGAGGAGTTTGAGTGCTTTGCGGCTGCTGTACCTCATCTCGTGTCCATGCTGATTGCACCTGAGGGAGACCCGGATGCACCAGACATCCCGACCCCGCGCTCTTACGCTGAGGCGATCGCGGGTGAGTACTCCTCTCAGTGGCAGACAGCCATGGACGCAGAGATGGCATCCTAGAAGTCCACTGGCACTTACGTCGACGAGGTTCCCCCTCCTGGGGCGAACATCGTCAGTGGCATGTGGATTTTCAGGGTGAAGCGGCCGCCAGGCTCTCCGCCCGTCTTCAAGGCTCGTTACGTTGCTTGAGGCTTCAGTCAGCGAGAGGGAGTTGACTTCTTCCAGACCTTCTCCCCCACCCCGAAGATGACCACTCTTCGGGTACTGCTGCACGTTGCCGCTCACCGTGACTACGAGCTTCACTCTCTGGACTTCAGCACAGCTTTCTTGCAGGGCAGCCTGCACGAGGAGATCTGGCTGCGCCGCCCTCCTGGCTTCACTGGGTCGTTCCCTCCTGGTACCCAGTGGAGGCTCCAGCGGCCAGTCTACGGTCTCCGCCAGGCGCCACGTGAGTGGCACGACACACTGAGGACGACACTTGCGGCTCTTGGGTTTGCTCCGTCGACCGCGGACCCGTCGCTGTTTCTGCGCACCGACACCTCACTGCCGCCGTTCTACATCCTCGTGTACGTCGACGACTTGGTCTTTGCCACTGCTGACACTGAGGCTCTTGCCCTGGTGAAGTCGGAGCTGCAGAAGAGACATACGTGCACAGACCTGGGTGAGCTGCGCAGTTACCTTGGCTTGCAGATCACCCGGGACAGAGCACGCCGCACCATCACACTGACTCAGTCACACATGGTGCAGCAGGTCCTTCAGCGCTTCGGCTTCACCTGGTCCTCAGCACAGGCCACTCCTCTGGCGACAGGTCACTCGCTCTCAGCTCCACCTTCGGACGAGTCCGTAGAGCCGAGTGGTCCTTACCCAGAGCTAGTTGGCTGCCTCATGTACCTGATGACTTGCACTCGTCCAGACCTCGCGTACCCTCTAGGCCTTCTGGCTCGCTACGTGGCTCCTGGTAGGCACCGAAAGGTGCACATGGATGCTGCTAAGAGGGTGCTGCGTTACTTGTGCAGTACATCGGGCATGGGGCTCGTGCTTGGAGGACGGGGCGACGTTGTCCTCACTGGGCACTCAGACGCTTCTTGGGTTGACGACCAGGCTACGCAGAGGTCGTCACAGGGTTACACCTTCAGCCTTGGCTCCGGCTCTGTTTCTTGGCGTTCTACTCGCTCGTCTTCGGTTTTCAGCTCTAGTTGTGAGGCTGAGATCTACGCCACAGCCATGGCTGCACAGGAGTTGCGCTGGCTCACCTACCTGCTGACCGACCTGGGAGAGCGGCCTCGTTCTCCTCCAGTGCTGTACGTCGACAACAAGGCTGCCATTGCCTTGTGTGAGGAGCACAGACTGGAGCACAGAACGAAGCACATCGCTCTACGTTACTTCCTGGCTCGAGAGTTGCAGCAGCGAGGCCAGCTTCGTCTCCGTCACGTGGACACTCGGGCCAACACTGCTGATATATTCACCAAGGCACTTCCGTCTGGTGATCATCAGCGCTTTTGTACCTTGTTGGGCCTTGTGCCGATGTTTCCACACTTGCTGTAGTCTCTCCTTGTACTGTGATCTATACATATACCTGCATGCTTGCTCTTGCTAGCTTGAGATCACTGTACTGTTCTTGTTGCTTATATACCTCTGCATGTGGACTGGCCCTGTGGCCGTTTGCTTGTGCTCAGTTTGAGTGGTGACGTTGTGATCCACCCTGAGTTTTGTCTCTTGACTGGTCTTGTGACCGTTGCTTGCTCTGGCTATCCCCCATTTCACCTATGGGGGTGTGTCAAATATATAGATATATTATTATCTAGGTTGTATTGGGGATAGCTCTAGGGGGTACAAACGTTTCTCTCGACACTCTCTTTCTTGTACCCCAAACCTTGACCTAACTCATCATTCTTTGCCTAGGCATCTATGGCTTCTTAACACCCCGCTCCCGTCGCCCGCGGCCCCCCGCTCCCGTCGCCCGCGGCCCCCCCGTTCCCGTCGCCCGCGGCCCCCCGTTCCCGTCGCCCGCGGCCCCCCGTTCCCGTCGCCCGCTACCCCCCCGTTCCCGTCGCCCGCGGCCCCCGCTCCCGTCGCCCGCGGCCCCCCCGTTCCCGTCGCCCGCGGCCCCCCGTTCCCGTCGCCCGCGGCCCCCCGTTCCCGTCGCCCGCGGCCCCCCGTTCCCGTCGCCCGCGGCCCCCCGTTCCCGTCGCCCGCGGCCCCCCGTTCCCGTCGCCCGCGGCCCCCCGTTCCCGTCGCCCGCAGCCCGTCCAGCGCCTCGCCAGGCGCCTGCGCGGACGCTAGCGACGAGCGCCAACGCCACGGCTAGCCGCAACCGCCAGCGCCTGCGCCAGCGCCAGCGCCAACGTCTACGCCAGCGCGAGGCGCCAGCGATAGCGCCAGCAGCAGCTACCGTCGCCCCCCCCACCCGCCCTTCCTTCCGCGACTTCCGTCGTGGGGAGGGGGGGAGGGGGAGACGTGGGGTGGCGGGTGTGAATCACCAGCAGGCCGTCCCTCCCTTCCCTCTTCCTCTCTCCCTGCAGCACTTGGTGCTGTAGGGGGGGGGGGAGAGCAGTTGAGGGGGGATGGGAGTAATCTGCTTTATTTCTCTCTCGTTCTTCTCCCTCTCTCTTCCGCTGCATCACTTCTCGCTACTCCTCCTTGTATCCGTCGTATCTGGTCGCCTCCCGCGTGGAAACAGCAGCCACGCATTTGCAGATGCCGCCCACTGCTACCGTGGCACCTACAGCTGCAGCCCCTGACGCCTCGTTCGTCTTCTTTGCTGTTGAGCTGCAAACTAGATGCGCCACAGCACTTTGTCTCCTTTCTCCGTTCGTCTTCTTTGCTGTTGAGCTGCAAACTAAGTGCGCCACAGCACTTTGTCTCCTTTCTCCGTTCGTCTTCTTTGCTGTTGAGCTGCAAACTAGATGCGCCACAGCACTTTGTCTCCTTTCTCTCTTTCTTGCCTCAGGACTTGCTGCAGCTGTTTCTGCCACCACTGCACTGGTTGTCATTGCTCTTGCGTGCTACTGCTTGGTGTACCCCCGCAGGTTGTGTTTTGCAATTGGCTATAACTGCATGCAGTTAAGGGGGGATGTCAAAGTTATATTGTTATAACTGCATGTAGTTGTAGCTTAGTGTAGCATTACATTTAACTGTTGGTGGTATACCTTGCGTCTCTCCTATTTGTACCCTTTGCTCAATAGTGAAACCCCTTCCTTTTCTCGACAATCTTCTCCTTACCCTCCTTGCCTAGGCTTAGAAACCTAAGTTACTCCTTATTCTAACAAAGCTAAGCATTTAAAGCAAATACATTGATAGTGTAGTTGTAAATCGTGATGCACAGCCATGAAAATTTGTGAAGTAATCATCGGTAACAGGTTGCATGCAAATTGAACAACCCTTCGAATGAGATACCGGTAACTAGGTAATATTAGGTATCACTCCACCCTTGCCTGTGTTCCAGTCCAGTAACGTGTTTCCTCCCAAAAATTCCTGTTCTGCCATCCTAGCGTTGTGGGTGGTTGCTGGGAAATAGCGGTGTGGAACAATATGTGTGTCTGGAGGATACCCAGAAAACCACCGAAGCTTGACGTTCTGGCATAAACCTTGTAGTAAACCAACATCCGGTTCATCCAAACCAATGGGCTGAGTTCAGTAAAGAGTATGAATACTAGAGCGTGGTTGGCTAAAGATTAGCCCGTGCTGGCCCACCTCGGAATTTGCCGAGTAAACGTCAGACACGTTGACAGAATGCCGATGTGGAACTGTTCTTTTCCATTGCGGCTCACCAATCAAACGTTGCGAATTCTCCCAGCTGGAGCAGCCAAAGATAGATACACACCTCCCGCCAAGCTTCAGCCCACGCACCTGTTCCTGCCGAACCAGATCCGTGGAGATGTTGGGTGTGGTATGTGTGAGCAATCTCCAACGTAAGCTGAGCCTTTGCGGGTTCGGAGGAGCAAAAAGTGGTGATATTGGTGGAGACGAGGTTCGGCACGCATGATATTCGGACAACGCGTCAGAAGCGAAAGCTAGGCACAATACGTCCAATCAGAAGATTATCACTCAAGCCGCATCTGCGCCGTTAACCCGTACCTAGCCCGAGCCACTTGGCCCGAGTCAAGGAACATGACCCGTGGTTGGGCTGGGTGCAGGAAGTGCTGTGCTGCCTGCTGGAGCATCCCGCCGCACGTACGGGAAGAGGTGGCAAGCAGCAAGAGGACGAAAAAAAACCCCGACCTCGGGGTTTGGCGATTTGGAGCATGTTATCCGTGGAATGATGGATGATGTGAGGGTGGACGGATGGATGGAGCCTAGATATTGTGTAAAACAGCGTCGAAGCTGAATCCAACCGTTCATCGGTTTCGCGGAACAGGTGGGAGATGAGAGCACAGCAAAGTTGAATCGAGAGGAATAGATGTGCTGACTCCCAGTCCTGCTGCTCCATTCTCGCTCTTATCTGTTAGCTTCTCTTTTGGAGAAGCTTTTCTCGAGGAGGACCCTGCAGGTCTCACCAACTCGGTGTGCTCGTTGCATGTGCTTACGACCTGCTATAGGGTTTCTCTTTCCGGTTTGTAAGAGCTAAGCAGTAGCAATGGCGGCTGTCCGTGCGCTGTCACTGTCGCTGCCGTCAGCGGTAGTGTCAGGCTCAGGCCTTACCACGTCCTCCCGCCAGCAGCAGGCGTCCTCTACCCCCTTCCAGCCGCGCGGTGCGTTTCTCAAGTTCAATGGCCTCAAGAGCACCGCCAGCCTCCCGTCGTCAAAGCAGGCCGTGCGATCCCCTGCGATGTCGCGCAAGGCATCCAACGACCCCGTGCGACGCCTCGTGACGACGGCCGAGTTTTCCAAGGTTCCCCAGGAGCCCATGGGCCTGTACGACCCTGCATTGGACAGCGACGCCTGCGGTGTCGGCTTCGTCGCCGAGCTCTCCAAGATCCCCACGCGCAAGACTGTAAGCTGCTTACAAACCTTAACTTAACTCCAAATTCAGATCCTCTTGTCCGCGAACCTGCTAAATAACAACCAGATCTTTCCGGCTTCAGTGTAACTAGCCTCGATCGCATATGTTTTTCCCGTAATACGGGAATTTTCATCGGAGCACGCGGCTGCGTCCTTCTGTATTTAAATCAGCTTCGTTGTGCCTTACCTCGATGTTGTACGTCGTGTTTGTTTTCAGGTGACTGACGCGCTCGAGATGCTTATCCGCATGGCGCATCGCGGCGCGTGCGGCTGCGAGGTTAACACCGGTGATGGTGCTGGTATCATGGTGGCTCTCCCGCACGACTTCTTCGTCAAGGTGACTGTCAACCCCCCAGCCTCCTCGTCTCTGGATTCGAGCTACACGATGTGTTCGTCCCACAATAAATGCAGTTATGGCAGCTGCATTTTCCTCTTGTCCCTCTCTTCCTAGATCTGTCTGACAGATTTTTTTTCCTTAAGTCACTATGCGTATTTCATTGTTTGTTTGTTTGTTTGTATTATTCCTTTTTCGTACTGTGCAGGTTGCCAAGGTGGATGCTGGCGTGACTCTCCCGCCATTGGGAGAGTACGGTGTGGGAATGTGCTTCCTCCCCACGGATAAGAAGCGCAGGAACCGCGGCAAGGAGGCATTCAATAAGGTTCGCCTCTGCACATCCCAGCCGCGTCGTACCTCCCACCTCCAACTTTCTCTCTTGCGCATGTTTTCAAATGCCCGCCTTTAATGCTCGTTCAGGACCGAGCTCCCTTTCGTTTCGCTCGACCCCCCCCTGGTGGTGGTTCGTTTGTCCTTTCTGGAATTCATTTCTGGTGTGATCTCGCGCCGCAGGTGGCGGAGGAGATGGGGTGCAAGGTGCTGGGGTGGCGGCGCGTGCTGACGGACAACGCGGATCTGGGCAAGGCGGCGCTGGACACGGAGCCAATCGTGGAGCAGGTGTTCCTGCTCGTCAACAAGGACTCGCACCTCGAGGCGGAGCAGCAGATGTGGCTGCTGCGCCGCACCGCCATGAAGGCCGTTCGCGAGGCGCTCGGCCTCAAGGTCGGCGGCACGCGCGACTTCTACATCTGCTCGCTCTCCACCAGGTGCGATCGTCCTCCTGGTCCCTTGGCTTGTCGGTCGGTTGCCTTGTTGAGGATCGGTTCGTACAAAAGCGCCTTGTTTTTCTTCCAAAAGCTATTTTCTCGCCACCAGGTCGGTATTTCCTCACCGTGCTGCGCTAGAGTATATGCGTCACCTGCCGTTTCTCGGGCTGTAAGCCGAGTCGCTCTGTAAGTCATCACTAAAGGGATCGCAGATAGATCACGTTCTGAGCACGTCGTTAATCCCTACAAAGTGGTAGGAAACAGAAGTGATGATATAAGGTGAACAAGTGTCCACGTCTCTGACACTGTATTTCTTGTGTGCGTATGGGTGTGTTTGTGTGCGTGCGTGTGCGTGCGCGCGTGGCGCAATGCAGGACGATCGTGTACAAGGGTCAGCTGAAGCCGGAGCAGCTGCAGGGATACTACCACGCCGACCTCGACGACGATCGCTTCACCTCCTACATGGGCCTCGTGAGTTACCCTCCATCCCTCTTTTGAGACGTCTCAAAAGTCGTCCTACATGGGCCTCGTGAGTTACCCTCCATCCCTCTGCCGCCTGCCGGGGTGACTTTTGAGTCGACTCAAAAGGCATCTGCAGGGCTACTACCACGCCGACCTCGACGACTGATCGCTTCACCTCCTACATGGGCCTCGTGAGTTGCCCCTCCGCCTGTTCTCCCGTTCGCCCGCTCTCTCGCTCGTCCTCCCCAGCGGCCCCATGCCTTCCCATTTGTCGCTTCCAGCGATGCGTTGCGCCGTTTCCTCCCCCACTAACCCCGCATTTCCCCTCTCCCTCTCTCTTTACCAGGTGCACTCGCGGTTTTCGACGAACACGTTTCCGAGCTGGGAGCGCGCGCAGCCGATGCGCATTCTGGGGCACAACGGCGAGATTAACACGCTGCAGGGCAACGTCAACTGGTTAGTCGCTGAGCCTGTTATTGTACACCGTGTCTGTCACACGTTGATTCTGTCGCACGCTGGGGTTCTGTCACACGCTGGTTCTGTCGCACGCTGGGTCTGTCGCACGCTGGGTCTGTCGCACTCTGGGTCTGTCGCACGCTGGGTCTGTCGCACTCTGGGTCTGTCGCACACTAGGTCCAGCAATGAGCAGCTCGAAAAGACTCGTGGATTCTCGGGATATAACCAACACCACCACCTAACCATCTCCCCCGCCGCAGGATGCGCGCGCGCGACTGTTGACAGCTGTTGGCGCCACTCTTGAGCCGTCTTGGGCGCGGATTTTAAGCCGCCTCATGAACCAACCCAATCCCTCCTCCGTCTCCTCTCCCCATCCCCCTCTCCCGCCCGTCTCTCCTCTTCTCCCAACAGGATGCGCGCGCGCGAGGGGCTGATGAAGTGTCCCGGACTCGGCATTTCCAAGGAGGAGCTGGACGCCGTGCTGCCCGTCATCGACGCCAACTCCTCCGACTCGGGCGCCTTCGACGGCGTGCTGGAGATGCTCGTGCGCGCCGGCCGCACGCTGCCCGAGGCCGTCATGATGATGATCCCCGAGGCGTGGCAGAACGACAAGAACATGTACCCGGAGAAGAAGGCGCTCTACGAGTACCTCTCCGCGCTCATGGAACCCTGGGACGGCCCTGCTCTCATTGCCTGTGAGTCCCTCACCGCTCTCGTTGCCTATATGGGTTGTCGCTGGTAGCCTGGGGGTTGCGAGCTACAGGTCGAGGCGTGGCAGAACGACAAGAACATGTACCCTGAGAAGAAGGCGCTTTACGAGTATCTCTAAGCGCTCATGGAGCCCTGGGACGGCCCTGCTCTCATTGCCTGTGAGTCCCTCACCCGTTTCTATCCTTAAGCTCTGACTGACTCTTATTACCATAGTAGTCCTCCGCTTAAACTGGTTTTCCGTCTGTTGATTTTCATAACCAACCCGCCTTCCCATCCCCGTTCTCCCGCCTTCCTCCCCGTCATCCCCCGTCGCAGTCTCCGATGGCAAGTACGTGGGTGCCACGCTTGATCGCAACGGTCTGCGTCCCGGCCGCTACTACGTGACGCACAGCGGCCGCGTCATCATGGCCAGCGAGGTGGGCGTGGTCGACGTGGACCCTGCTGACGTGGCGCGCAAGGGGCGGCTGAACCCCGGAATGATGCTATTGGTGGACTTCGAGAAGCACGAGGTGGTGGACGACGAGGCGCTCAAGCGGCAGTACTCGAGCCAGCGCCCCTACGGCGAGTGGCTGGCCAATCAGAAGCTGACGCTTGGCGACATCGTGGCGTCCGTCCCGGAGGCGGACCGCGTGCCGCCGCCGATCGCGGGCGCGACGGAAGTCGACTCGTCAGCAGACGAGACGATGGAGACGATGGGAATCAACGGGCTGACGACACCCCTCAAGGCGTTCGGCTACACGATTGAAGCGCTGGAGATGCTGCTGCTGCCTATGGCTCAGACGGGCTCTGAAGCTCTCGGATCCATGGGGAACGATACTCCCCTTGCGTGCATGTCCACACGGCCCAAGCTCATGTCGGAGTATTTCAAGCAGCTGTTCGCGCAGGTCACCAACCCCCCCATTGACCCTATCCGCGAGGCGGTTGTGACGTCTACGGAGTGCATGGTGGGGCCTGAGGGGGATTTGACGGAGACGACTGAGGAGCAGGCGCACAGGCTGTCGCTCAAGGGCCCTCTGCTGACGCCGGAGGAGACGGAGGCGATGAAGAAGATGGATTATCGTGGGTGGCGTACCGCTGTTGTGGATATCACGTTTGCGCGGAGCGAGGGGCCGGACGGGCTTGAGAAGGCGCTGGATCGGATCTGCGCTGAGGCGAGTTTGGCGATTGAGGCTGGGTATAAGATGCTCGTGCTGTCCGACCGAGGTGAGCGGGGTTTCAGGGGTGCTGGGTGCTGCTGGGCTTGGGTATTGTGTGCTGGCAGGGGTAAGGGTTTCGGGTTTAGGGGCTGGGATTAGCAAGTGCTGGCAGATCTCGAGATGTCTTTTCTGTCCCAAAGTGTTTACTGGGTTGCGCCTATCCAAAGGACTCTAGATGCTTCTTGTTCGTGTGAGCCACATTATGCCTGTAGGAGCTAGTACAAACAGTGCGCTGGTGGCTGCGGGCATGCTGCACCAGCATCTCGTGCGCACGCTGCAGCGCACGCACTCACACCTCCCTTAATGTCCCTTTCCGACCATGCACCCTCCACCCTTCCCCCGCCCTCCCCCCGCCCCCTCCGCCCCTCTCTACAGCCACGTCCCCCACGCGCGTGCCCGTGAGTGCCCTCTTGGCCGTGGGAGCGGTCCACCAGCACCTGATGCGCACGCACTCACACCTCCCCTTATGCCCTTTAATTCCCCTCTTTCCACCTCCGCTCTCCCGCTTACAGCCACGTCCCCCACGCGCGTGCCCGTGAGTGCGCTCCTGGCCGTGGGAGCGGTGCACCAGCACCTGGTGCGCACGCTGCAGCGAACCCGCATTGGCATTGTAGTCGAGTCAGGCGAGCCCCGCGAGGTGCACCACTTCTGCACGCTCGTGGGGTTCGGCGCGGACGCCATCTCGCCGTACGTGGCCACGGAGGCCATCTGGCGCCTGCAGGTGGACGGCAAGATCCCGCCCAAGGCGGACGGCACCCTCCGCACCAAGGACGAGCTCATCCGCACCTACTTCAACGCCAGCAACGCCGGCATGCTCAAGGTTCTCGCCAAGATGGGCATTTCGACGCTGGCGTCGTACAAGGGCGCGCAGATCTTTGAGGCCTTGGGGTTGTCGAGCGATGTGGTGGACCGGTGCTTCCGGGGGACCGCGAGCAGGATTCAGGGGGTTTCGTTTGACGTGCTGGCGGCCGATGCGATTCGTTTGCACGACCAGGCGTTCCCGCTGGGGACGGAGAAGAACCTTCCGGAGGATTCGGCTGATGCGACTGCTGTGCCGAACCCTGGGGATTATCACTACAGGAAGGGCGGCGAGGTGCATTTGAACGACCCGGTCGCGATCTCGCGGCTGCAGGAGGCCGCGCGGACGAACAGCGCGGCGGCTTATAAGGAGTACGCGGCGATCACCAACACGCTTAACCAGCAGTGCAACCTGCGCGGCATGCTCAAGTTCAAGCCGGCGCCAGGTGGCGCGATCCCATTGGAGGAGGTGGAGCCAGCGAGCGAGATTGTGAAGCGGTTCTGCACGGGAGCCATGAGCTACGGGTCTATCTCCCTGGAGGCTCATCAGAGCCTGGCTATTGCTATGAACACGATTGGAGGGAAGTCAAACACGGGCGAGGGAGGCGAGAACCCGTCCCGGCTGGTCCCGAACCCCGACGGGAGTAACAACATCCTCCGGTCGTCGATTAAGCAGATTGCGAGCGGGCGGTTTGGCGTGTCTGCGTATTATCTGACAAATGCGGACGAGCTGCAGATTAAGATGGCCCAGGGGGCGAAGCCCGGGGAGGGAGGCGAGCTGCCCGGGCACAAGGTGATTGGGGACATCGCTGTGACGCGCAACAGCACGCCTGGCGTGGGGCTCATCAGCCCGCCGCCGCACCACGACATCTACTCCATTGAAGACCTGGCGCAGCTGATCTATGACCTCAAGGTGAGGGGCTGCTGGTGGGTGTGAGGAGGCGGAAAGATTGAAGGTTGTGCCTGTGTTTGCATAGGTTGGGTCTTAAGGGGCTCATCAGCCCAGTCCCTCACCATGACATGTACTCCACTGAAAACATTATCGGGTCCATTACAGAAGAGCTCATCTGAGAGTTCGCTAGGCGTGGTGGGAGAGGAGGTGTGGTGTGGTTCAGGGTGAGTACGGTTATGAGCTCATGGTCTCAGCTGGCGAGGCGAGTAGTAGTTTTACGTGAGTAGCTATGGACCATGCCAATTCTGAAATCATTTTCCGTTCTGTTTCTGCTTTCCGCGTTCACTGCTGCCTTTCAACCCTCTTCCCCCTGTCCCTTCCCATCCCACCATCATCAACCCTGGTGCCCGTGTGAGTGTGAAACTCGTCTTCAAGGCGGGTGTGGGAGTGATCCCGAGAGCAGAGTGGTGAAGGGCCACGCGGATCACGTGCTCATCTCTGTCTCATCCCTGCCCTCCCATCCCAACGCCCCCCCCCCCCCCCCCCCCCCTCAAAATCCAGAACTCCAACCCTGGCGCCCGTGTGAGCGTGAAGCTGGTGTCCAAGGCGGGTGTGGGAGTGATCGCGAGTGGAGTGGTGAAGGGCCACGCGGACCACGTGCTCATCTCGGGTCACGACGGCGGCACCGGTGCCTCCCGCTGGACCGGCATCAAGAGCGCCGGTCTCCCCTGGGAGCTGGGTATTGCTGAGACCCACCAGACGCTCGTGGCAAACGACCTGCGCGGCCGCACTGTGCTGCAGGCTGACGGGCAGATGAAGACCGGGAAGGATATCACAGTCGCCGCGCTGCTTGGTGCCGAGGAGTTTGGGTTTTCGACCGCGCCGCTGATTACTCTTGGGTGTATCATGATGCGGAAGTGCCATAAGAATGTCTGCCCCGTCGGGATTGCGACGCAGGACCCGGTGCTGCGCGCCAAGTTTTCCGGGCAGCCCGAGCACGTGATAAACTATTTCTTCATGGTGGCGGAAGAGGCGCGCGAGTACATGGCGCAGATGGGCTTTAAGACCATGGACGAGATGATCGGCCGCGCCGACATGCTCGAGCAAGACATGGACCTCTGCAACTCCAACCCGAAGCTCCAGAACATCGATCTCTCGGTGCTGCTCACTCCCGCCGCGACCCTCCGCCCGGGCGCGGCGCAGCGGTGCGTGCAGAAGCAGGACCACGGGCTTGAACTGGCGCTGGACCAGAAGCTGATTCGGCTGGCGCAGCCGGCAATCACGCAGAAGATTCCGGTGTTTGCCGAGGTGCCGATTGTGAACGTGAACCGCGCGGTGGGCACCATGCTGTCTCACGAAGTCACCAAGGTGCATCGCCTGGAGGGTCTCCCTGCTGATATGATCCATTTCAAGCTGACTGGGAGTGCCGGGCAGAGCTTCGGCGCGTTTACCTGCAAGGGGTTGACGCTGGAGCTGGAGGGGGATAGCAATGATTATGTGGGGAAGGGGCTGTCTGGTGGTAAGCTGATTATCTACCCTCCGGCTACGTCGACGTTTGATCCCAAGGAGAATATTATTATTGGGAATGTGGCGCTGTATGGGGCCACGTCTGGTGAGGCGTATTTCTGCGGCATGGCTGCGGAGAGATTTGCTGTGAGGAATTCCGGGGCGAGGGCTGTGGTGGAGGGCGTGGGGGACCACGGGTGCGAGTACATGACGGGCGGCATAGTGGTGATTCTGGGTGGCACGGGGAAGAACTTCGCGGCGGGAATGAGCGGCGGCATCGCGTACATCCTCGACCGGGAGGGAGACTTCCACAAGAGGTGCAACACGGGGCTTGTAGACCTGGACCCTGTGGTGGAAGAAGCGGATGTGCTGCTGCTGCGGTCGATGATTCAGCAGCACCAGCGGTACACCAAGAGCAAGCTGGCTGGCGAGGTCCTGGCGGAGTTTGAGGAGCTTCTGCCCAAGTTTGTGAAGGTGTTCCCGAGGGACTTCAAGCGCGTGCTGGAGGAGGAGCGCGTGAAGAAGGAGAAGGAGGCGGCGGAGCTGAAAGAGAAGGACGCGTTTGAGGAGCTCAAGAGGCTCGCGGCCGCGAGTGGAGGGGAGGTCAACGGGTCCGCTGCTGTGGTGAGTGAAGGCTGCTGCTGTGCTTGTTTTTTGTTCGTCTTGTCTTTTGCGGAGCTCAAGTGGATCGCTGTGGGGCGAGGTCCTCGCCTCCGACCCCGGCCGGCCCATTCCCCCTCCAGTCACCCACCATCCCCGCTCCTGCCTCTCCCACTCTCCCTCTCCCCCGGCATGTGTGACCCCTCGTCCCCCTCCCCTCCCCGCCCCTTTTCCCATTCCCCTACCCCGCCCAGGCTCCTCCCAAGCGCCCGACCCGTCTCCCCGCTCCAGTGAAATTCGGGGGGTTCATGAAGTGCGAGCGCGAGCCGCTGCCCTACCGCCCCGCCGAGGAGCGCCTGACCGACTGGCGCGAGGTGCTCGCCTCTGACCCCGGCCGCCCCGTTCCCACCATCAATCACCCACCATCCCTCTCATGCCTCTTCCACTCCCTCTTTCCCCCTGCTTGTGACCCCTCGTCCCCCTCCCCCCTCCCGCCCCCCACGCCCCCCTACCCCGCCCAGGCACCCCCCAAGCGCCCGACCCGTCTCCCTGCCCCAGTCAAGTTTGGAGGTTTCATGAAGTACGAGCGTGAGCCGCTGCCGTACCGCCCGGCAGAGGAGCGCCTGACGGACTGGGGGGAAGTCCTGGCCTCCGACCCCGGCCGCCCCGAGCTGCTCAAGACGCAGTCGGCGCGCTGCATGGACTGCGGCACGCCCTTCTGCAACCAGGACAAGTCCGGCTGCCCGCTGGGGAACAAGATCCCCGAGTTCAACGAGCTCGTGTACCAGGGCAGGTGGAAGGAGGCGCTGGATCGGTTGTTGGAGACGAATAACTTTCCGGAGTTTACCGGGAGGGTGTGTCCCGCGCCGTGCGAGGGCGCGTGCGTGCTGGGGATTATTGAGAATCCCGTGTCGATCAAGACGATGGAGCTGAGCATTATTGACAAGGCGTATGAGATGGGGTGGATGGTGCCTCGCCCGCCTGCCAAACGCACTGGGTAAGAATGTTTGTCTGGTGTGTGTGAGGATCATTCAGTGCTTTGTGTGCCTTGGGCGTGCGTGCTGGGGATCATTAATCTTATTGAGAACCCCGTGTTGATTAAGACGATGGAGCTGAGCATTATTGCCAAGGCGGAATGAGATGGGGTGGATGGTGCCTCGGCCCCCTGCCAAGAGGACTGGGTAAGTCTTGGGAAGCTGATTGGGTGGGTGCCTGGTGAGTGTGAGGTAAAGTCAAGGTACTTGCCATGGCTGTGCGTGCTGGGGGTGTGCTTCAAGACGATGGAGCTGAGCATTATCGACAAGGCGTATGAGATGGGGTGGATGGTTCCTCGCCTCCTACCGGGTGATATGTAGGAGAGGGAGTGTTTGCCTGATGAGTGTTAGGGCAGGGGAAGTACCGAGCTCTACTGAATTACCACGAGTTTGATCCACACGCCATGGCTCTGCCTGCTGGGGATTCTCCCACTCTCTAAGGTTCTGACAGAATCAAACCCTCACCTGTTACCGGTTCTTCCTCCCCCCAACTCCCTTCCAACTAACAGCAAGAAGGTGGCGATTATCGGCAGTGGCCCAGCAGGGCTCGCAGCTGCTGACCAGCTGAACAAGCGCGGGCACACGGTGACTGTCTACGAGCGTGCGGACCGCATCGGAGGGCTGATGATGTACGGCGTGCCCAACATGAAGACAGACAAGACGCACGTGGTGCATTGCAGGGTCGACCTCATGGCCGCCGAGGGCGCCACCTTCCTTGAGGCTTCTATGTGTCGAACCCTCACCCGCAACCTGTTCTCCCTTTCCCCTGTCCCCTGCCCCCCTCCCCCCCTTTACAGCAAGAAGGTGGCAATCATCGGGAGCGGCCCTGCTGGCCTAGCCGCTGCCGATCAGCTGAACAAGCGCGGGCACACGGTGACTGTCTATGAGCGCGCGGACCGCATCGGAGGGCTGATGATGTACGGCGTGCCCAACATGAAGACGGACAAAACACACGTGGTGCAGCGCAGGGTGGACCTCATGGCCGCAGAGGGCGCCACCTTCCTTGAGGCTTCTAGCTGTCAATCCCTCACCCGCTACCTGCTCTCCCTTTTTTCCTGTTCCTCGCCCCCTGCCCCCCGCCCCCTGCCCCCCTCTCCCCCTTTACAGCAAGAAGGTGGCAATCATTGGGAGCGGCCCGGCAGGGCTCGCAGCTGCTGATCAGCTGAACAAGCGCGGGCACAGCGTGACGGTGTACGAACGCGCGGATCGCATCGGAGGGCTGATGATGTACGGCGTGCCCAACATGAAGACGGACAAGACGCACGTGGTGCAGCGCCGCGTGGACCTCATGGCAGCAGAGGGCGTTGCCCATTGAGGTTTCTTAACCCCGATCCATCTCCCTGTTCCCCTCTTCCTTCCCTGCCCCCCACCAACAGCAAGAAGGTAGCAATCATTGGGAGCGGCCCGGCGGGTCTAGCCGCTGCAGATCAGCTGAACAAGCACGGGCACAGCGTGACGGTGTACGAACGCGCGGATCGCATCGGAGGGCTGATGATGTACGGCGTGCCCAACATGAAGACAGACAAGACCCACGTGGTGCAGCGCAGAGTGGACCTCATGGCCGCCGAGGGCGTCACGTTCGTCACCAACGCGCACGTGGGCGTCGACGAGCAGTACAGCGTGGAGAAGCTGAGAGCCGAGAATGACGCTATGCTGCTTGCATGTGGTTCGACCAAGCCAAGGGACCTGCCTGTGCCGGGGAGGGAGCTCAAGGGCGTGCATTTCGCCATGGAGTTTCTCGCGGCGAACACCAAGTCGCTGCTGGATAGCGGGCTCAAGGACGGGAGGTTTATCTCGGCGGAGGGGAAGAAGGTGGTTGTGATTGGTGGAGGCGATACGGGCACGGACTGCATTGGGACCAGTCTGCGGCACGGGTGCGAGTCGCTGGTGAATCTCGAGCTGCTGCCGCAGCCGCCTCCTTCCCGCGCCGATGGCAACCCCTGGCCGCAGGTACAGTGATGGTCGCGGTTGATGTTCATGAGTAGTGAATAGACCCTGTCATGCTGTTCTCTGCTTGCTCGCCTCCTTTCCCCTTTGAAATCGCCATGACTTCGTCTCACCTACGCTTCTACACGCCCCCACCCGCCACCCACCCTTCCACTCTTCACCACCCACCTACCCCCCCACCCCCTGCTCTCCCCTTTCCCCATTTGTCGCGCATCTGCCGGTGGACTACTGGCACGAGTAGGCCAAGTGAAGCGTCATTCTGCACACATGCTTTCTCCTGCTCACCCTGCTCCCTCCCTCCTTCCTCCCCTCCCCTCCCCCCAGTGGCCACGCATCTTCTGCGTGGACTGTGGCCACGAGGAGGCAAAGACCAAGTGAAGCGCCATTCTGCACGCATGCCAGCCTCTTGCTTCCTCCTGCTCACCCTGCTCCCTCACTCCTCCCCCCCTCCCTTCCCCCAGTGGCCGCGTATCTTCCGCGTGGACTACGGGCACGAGGAGGCAAAGACCAAGTTCGGAGCCGACCCGCGCTCCTACGAGGTTCTGACCAAGCGGTTCATTGGCAACGATGCGGGCGAGCTGACGGGCATTGAGACGGTGCGCGTGCAGTGGGCCAAGGACGCTTCACATGCCAACCTCTTACCCCACTCCCCCTCTCTTCGCCCCTCCCGCCCCCCTCCAGTGGCCACGCATCTTCCGGGTGGACTACGGCCATGAGGAGGCAAAGACCAAGTTCGGATCCGACCCGCGCTCCTACGAGGTGCTGACCAAGCGGTTCATTGGTAACGATGCGGGCGAGCTCACGGGCATCGAGACGGTGCGCGTGCAGTGGGCCAAGGACGCGTCTGGAAGGTTCCAGATGAGCGAGATTCCCGGGTCCGAGGAGGTGATTCCAGTGGACTTGGCTCTCCTTGCCATGGGCTTCCTGGGTCCCGAGCAGGTCAGTGCTTGCATGCCGTGGCTGTTACAGTGCTGGGAGTAGTGGGAATGGATGTAGTGTTGGTGGGGGTCTGAGGAGGTGATTCTGGCCGACCTCGCGCTTCTTGCATGGGCTTCCTGGGCCCGGAGCAGGTCAGTGCGTTCCTAGGAGCGGGAGTGTGGGAGCTGTGGGCGTGTGAGCTGAGGGGAGGGACTGTCTGTTGATACCGCACTGGGTCTTCACCCTTTTCAACCCCCTTTCCCCGTCTGCCCTGTGGGGAGCAGAACGTGGCGGAGAAGCTGGGGCTGAAGACGGACGCGAGGAGCAACTTCCAGGCAGACTACGGGCAGTTCGCCACCAACCTGGAGGGCGTCTTTGCTGCTGGCGACTGCCGCCGCGGCCAGGTACGGTCCTGGTAGCTAGTCTCGCTTCTCTTGTGCTTCGAATTGCCTTGTTTCTCCTTGGCTTTGAGCTCTGCTTCCTCCCCCACTCTCCCCAACCCCCCTTCCGGCCTTTTCCTTCTGACCCCCTTCCACTCCCTTTCGCTTCTCCCCACCTCCCTCCTTCCCTCTCTGCAGTCTCTGGTGGTGTGGGCTATCGCGGAGGGCCGTGGCGCAGCAGCGAACATCGATGCATATGTGATGCGCAACGAGCCGGTGGACATGGCAGCCGAGGAGAGGGAGCTCGTGGAGGTGGCTGCCAGGACTGTGGCGGCTGTTGATGCTGCTGAGCGGAGCGCTGCCAATGGGAGTGCCACTAACGGGAGTGCCACTAATGGAAGTGCTAAAAACGGGAGTGCAACGAAGGGGAGAGCGTTCCCGGAAGGCGTGGAGCAGGCACGCGTGGAAGCGGTTGATGTGAGTTGAAAGGGTTGCTGGCTTGGATGTGGGGCTGGTGGGGCTGGCTGGGGATGAGGATGGTGGGAGAGCGTTCCCGGATGGCGTGGAGCTGGCAGGCACACTTGTTTGCTGCATGATACCCTATCTCAAACCTCAACCCCACCTCTAGTTTGGTCTCCCGTGAGTGATGGTGGAACGTGAGGATGGCACAGGTAGGACAGACTACCCCCACCCTTCCCATGCCTTCCCTTCCCTGCTCCGCACCTCTTGTCACTCCCTTGTGTCCCACCAGGCGTGTCTGATGGTGGAGGGAGAGGATGACACAGAGCACATTGATTGAGCCTTGTGTGCATCCTGTGCCTGCCTCACTCCAACCCTTACATAACCCTAACTTCCCCACACCCTCCCCTCACCCCACCTGTCACCATCAGGCGTGTCTGATGGTGGAGGGAGAGGACGACACAGAGCACATTGAGGCGTGTGTGGAGAAGAGTGTTGAGGCTGCTGCCTTGGGAGACGGCACCCCTGTGTCAGAGCAGAGCTATTAGAGCCCCTGTAGAGTCGATTGGTCACATAAGTTTTAAGTGGTTTAAGAACCAATGGTATTTTTCGTGCTATTATGTGGAAGCCCTGAGCATGCGAAACTGATGGAACTGTCTGAAATTTCAAGATAATAATGTGTTTTCCAGTTCTTTCTAACGCGTACGCACCTAAACCTAGTATTTCGGGTCTGCGTTCTCAGAACCTAGTCTACTAGCAGGCGCCGCACAGGTGGCGGTACAAATTTCCCAAATCCGAACCCCGTCACACTTTTGCTTGCGAAGGTTGGTAACTTTGTGCATGGGATGCAATAACGACCATCCCAGTCGCTCGCGACGAGAAAAGATCGCGAGCGGTTACGCATTTGGGAATGATGGCAGCGAATCTATGAAGCTTCGCGCATGCGCGGCTCCAACTTGTGACACCTAACATTCCGCAGTTCCAACCAGCGTTACGATCAACGTCGACACCTATCGCGATGAAATCCACAAGGAATGCGCCCTCGCTCGGATACGTAGGGGACCGATCACCGCGTGGGGTCGTGCTGCGCTTGTGCTACATCAGCTATCGCACAAGACTTCACAAGTCCGGCCGTCTTTTGCCCCCAGCCCCCAGCCCCGGAGTTCCCACGCCCTTCCAGTCCGTTGTGAGCTCGCAGGGCATAAAGTCCGTCGCAAGGCAGTGGGACTGTGTCGCAGGAGCGCGACGAACCGCCTCTTATCAACGATTATGTGGTCCTTCCTCCACAATAGGGCATATTCGGTACGGACGCTTGTCGCATTCCGCTCCTACCCTAACTGGACGACCGGGAGGGGCTCGTTGCACACCATGGGCGGCGTCGCGGCGGCGGAAAATCCCGATTCGACTCGCGCCGAAGCGCCAAACCAAATTCGCCTCTCGTGCTCTCCCAAGAGAATATATTTACTCACTTGTAGGGTTTTTCATTCCCGCACGATTTCTCTCCTGACTAGCAAAGTAGCGTGCGGTGCTAGTACCGTCGCTGGGCCTCTCTTACTCTCGTAGCCCACCCAATCCTCCGAGCAGCATCTGCCGCAGCGCAATGGCTGCCGCGCGACGGCCCGCCACTCAAGGCCGCAGCGCCGCGCCCTCCGCCGCGGGATTTCTCCCCGTGCTCGTCCTCGCATTACTGCTCCAGGCGCCCTCCGCGTCCGCCCGCCGCTGGTTCTGGAACGACGCCCTCTTCCCCGTCCGTCCCACAGGAGAAACGAACCCCGCCGCCGCTCTCGCCGCCGCGGAATTCGGCGGATCGGCGACGGCTGCCGAGTCGGCTCCAGTAGTCCCAACGCCAGCCCCGGTGGCGCCTGCGCCGGCGCCTGCGCCGGCGCCGGCGGCGGCTCCTGAGGTGTCGTGCTACGACGCCGTCCCTGTGGACCCTTTCGTCTTGTCCGGAGCCGCGCCCGACCCGTGCGCTAAGCTGGCGGCGGAGCTGAAGCGCAGTGCGGGGAAATTGGGGGGCAAGACTGGAGGGTTAGGGTTCGCGGCTCCTTCTCTCTTCCGCGCGTGCCACTCCACGTTCCTGTTCAGGTACCGCACTGTACCGCTGCTAGTCATGCACTGTTGAAGTTTGTTTTTTTTTCTTCTTTTTATTTTTTATTTTTTCTCTTATCATGCTTAAATGCGCCACTGAATTCGCGGAACACTCCGCGTTTTGTTGGGCTTGGTTATGTCGGCCGGGTTTGTCTGTACCATGCCACGGTCGACCTGCCAGGAAGGACTACGACGTGGCGGACCCTCAGTCGATCGCGAACGCGTTCGACCATCATTACGTTTACGCTGTCGTGAACCGATTTGCGAATGTCGTGACGATGATCGCGATCGTCTTTGTGATCTTTCAGGAAGGAGTGCGACGGGGCGGACCTGGTGTCGATCGCGAACGCGTTCGACAATCACTACGTGTACAAGCACATCGCGATGGACTCGCCCGACCAGACCAACCTGCCGAGCAGCGTCGATATTCTCGCGGAGCTGAAGAAAATCCTCCTGAAGGCCGCTCAGGGAAAGTACCCGCGGCTGGTTGACGCGCACATGGCGGTGTACCAAGCGGTCAACTCGCTAAACGACGGGCACACCTCGTTCATGCCGCAATGCTTCCTGGGACAATTCGACTTGCCGCTGCCGCTCATGGCTGTCGTCGAAAACGGGCAGCAGATCATTCGCGTTGCGCCGCGCCGATGTGAGTGTTGCTCAATATGCCCCCTCCCGGGTGAGGATAGTTGAGTGCGCCGCGTTGCACTCTGCCGCGTTGTGCCCCGCCGATTTGAGTGTTTTACAGTATTTGGCATCGCACCTCTCTGGTAATTAGTTATTCCAGCTGTGGTCCTATTCCTCGACACCCAACTGCAAAGCATAGCACCCCTAAATATCGAACTCCGTGTTCCTCTTTATCTATTCCCTTTGTCCAGATGTCACTCCTAGCGGGATGGACCATGTTGCGAAGGTTCTGCACAATTTTGACTTCGGCCTTTACGAGGGCCGACAGGTATGTATGTTTGCAATAAGCAGCCACTGTAGATTCGTTCAGCTGCGTGCTGCAAGCGAGCTTTACACGCTTTATATAATTTAATGCTTCCTGCGCGTTGCAGGTGGTGGCTATAAACGGGGTCAAAGCGGAAAAATTCGTCCTGGATTGGGCAGACAAGGAAATGGGCACGTATCGCAATCAGGCAACACGATTCACGAAATCCTTTGCGAGGAATGAGGCGGAATCGGTGGACGCGACGAACATCGTCCAGGTGCCAGGCGAATTCGCCCGGCGAGCCTTTGCTCCTCAAGCTGACACCTTACTGGTGTCCTTCGCAACAGCGTGAGCTACAGTACTCGATGCTCATTGGCTCTTCCTTTCGTTGCATGAGCTGTTTACCCTTCTGGGTTCTTCCCTGACGTTGCAGGGAGTTTTTGAGAATTTGAGAAATCTGAAAATCTCTTCCCTGCTGATTGCTTGCTGAGTTCAGCTCACTCGCTCTCCTAAATCGTCGTCCTTCACGCTTCATGTGTCCCCCTTTCCACTTCCCACCCCATCTGTTCTCCTTCCTTTTTGCTGCAATTCCCAGGGATGGAAGCTCGACGGAAGACGTAGAGGTGCCATGGATCGGGACAGGTGGGCTTAATCTATTTACAAATGCCACGGGGTACTGGAAGGCGGTATGTGCCGTGAAGGACCCATCAGTTGCTGGCGGCAACAGCGCGCAGCCAAGCGCGCAGACAAGCTCAGTCGGTCATGCGGACATTCCGATGATTGACAGGTTTCTCAAACGCCATCCCCCTCCAGTCTACTATGGTGACGATTCCAGCGATGGCAGCGGCGGCAACCTGAATGTAGAGATTGCGTCGCTTTCTGCTGCAGCAGCGGGACCGACTGTAAAGAGGATTTCACCAAAGGAAGATTATTTTCTGGTGAGGAGGTTGGCTTTAGTTGCTGGTATGAATGGTGGAGGCTGTGCTGATTCTTGCATGATGTGTGCTATCTAATTGTTATCCTTGGGTTGTTTTCTAGTTGTTAACTTGTTTGTTTGTGTGTGTGGGCGTGCACATGCGGACATGTGCATGCGTACACGTTCACATGTGTGCATGTGCGCATGTGCGCATGTGCGCATATGCGCATGTGTGGATGTGTGCTTGTGTGCATGTGTGCATGTGCATGCGAGCAGGTATACCTGGTGGGCGGCAACACGGCTGTGATCTGGATTCACCAGTTCAGTCCCAGCGAAGCGGTTACGCAGACGTTGGCGGCTAACAAGATTGATGAGGACCAGTACATGATTCTGCAGGTCACCAATGCTCTTAATACCGCAGCAGCGTCAGTACTCCTCTGCCCTCTAGCTGTTAATCTATTGACCCTGCATCGTCACATCCCCCCTTCCAACCCCGCTGCCTTCCCCACTCCATGTCTCATGCTAATACGCTGTTTTCAACTCATCTTTCACCTGACGTTTTATCCTCGTCACCTCGCTACTTGCTCTTTCCCCCATGCCTCTTTCCATGTCTCTTCCCCATGCGTTTCCCCACACATCCTCCCATGTGTTACCCCATGCCTCCCCCCATGTATGCCACATGCATCACCCCCAATGCCCCTCCCTCTTCAGATCCGGAGCCTCGCAGATCATCATAGACGTGCGTGGCAACGGTGGCGGCTCCACCATTGCATCATACACAGCCATCCGTCTCCTCATGGGGGCAGCAAAAGTCCCCGACTCGGATTTCGCCATGCCCATGGATCTTGTTATAGGCACTGAATACACCGAGAGTGCAATCAGTGTACTCTCTATCGACCCCTCAACGCACTACTTCTATGGAGGATACGCCGACCTCAACGGCACCGACTTCTCAAGCGGCTTTGACTACGCTCCTTTCCGCAAGCTCCGCTTCACAAAGACAGGCCCTGCTGGAAACTACTCGGCACGGTTCAAGATGAAGAACCAGTTCACCGGGAAGCAAACGGAGCCGGTGTTTGGCGACCGCCCCTTCGTGGTCCTGTCGGACGGAAACTGCTTCTCCGCCTGCGCCATCCTCACGCACGTCCTGGGGAAACGCCACAAAGTGCCCATGGTAACCGTGGGTGGTTTGCCCAACCAGCCCCCCGATGTGGGCTCCTCGTGCCTCGGGTTTACCGAAATGGACGTCTATTCGATGGCACCAGGCCTCAGCAATCTCGCTGCCTTAGAGCCAATGAACTCGTCGCCGCCTCTCAAGGTGAAAGGGTCCGTTGGCATGGCGTTTACCAACGGGTATGTGGATTCGGAGATTCCGTGCGAGTTTGAGTTTCTGCCCAGCCAGCATCACATCAACTACACCGTTGATCTCATTGACAAGCCCTGGGCCATGTGGAATGAGGTGGCCAAGCTCTTTGCCTCCCCTGCCGCCTAGTTCATTCCTAGGGCAGCCCAGCTGTTCACTCACTATGAGGCCTCTAGATGTTGCAATTTATATTATTTACGGTATGGTGGTTATGTTGATGGGGCGGTGGCTAGTTGTCATGCTGATGGCTGTTAGTTTATCATGTGTGTGTGTGTGTCATGCAGATGGGGTGAGGGGGAGGGGAGAAAAAACAGGGGGGTTGCTATATTTTTTGTGTGAGATCCCGGTTTCATTTATAGGTATACCGGTAGTAGCTGTGGGGTTTTTTTCCTTCCTCTATCTGAATAAAATATTAAACCCATAAAATTAATGTTATGGGTTCATCTGTTTTAACCTGTGCCAGTAAGGGGAGCTCACTGTAGAACTTTTGATGTTTTCATTTACGCCTTCGTTCTACTTTATGCAAACACGCTCTTCATTTTACGGCAAGAACACGCTCACCGCATCGTACCTGGAGATTATCACCAGCCATGCAACATGTGTCCGCGCTGCTGGCTCGTGCGGCCTTGGGAATGGTTCACCCAGCCAGACAGACCCTCTTCCCTCGCTTCTGCCTCGCTTTTTCTCTCCTCTCCCCTCTCTTATCCTCCCCTCTGCCTCCCTTCTTTCCCCTTTCTCCATCCTGCGTCCCTTCCTCGTTCCAGGGCGCATTCCGAGGGCGTGAATCGCTGTGCCCTAAAAGAGTTCATTTATTAGCGATCCTTCTAGCCACCGCCCGTCTAGCTGATATAGGGTTTCGTTATTAGCGGTTCTCGTTATAAGGGAGCCCGATGGGGGCGAACGTGAGTCACGCGGCGGCAGCGCCGTCCGCACCTCCGCCTCCGCCAATCGCACCCGCGGGAGTTCCTCCGCCCCCCGCGGGCCCGGTTGGCTTGCAGCAGGTCGTTCCGCCGGCTGATGCGGCGGGAAACGCGGAGAAGCCTCCGGAGAAAGTGGACTATCTGAATCTGCCGTGCCCAGTGAAATACGAGGAGATCCAACGAGAAGCACTTAGTAAGCACTCCTTAGCGAGGATGAATAGAGCGATAGACGTCGGTTAATTAGACACAAGGATATTGCGGAATAGAGCGATAGACGTCGGTTAATTAGACACAAGGATATTGCGGATCAGTCCCGATCGGATCAGACCAGATCACATGGATTGAGTCCATGCCGAATCGATCGTGGTCATCCTGACACCTGGTGCCAGCTGGCATCCGTCAGGGATCGATAACCTCTGGTGACTCGAGTGCTACGTGGCGTTTCTCCTTGATACTAGCCTATGATCGTCGTTCCTGGTCTATCGTTCTGGTCAAGTAGGTTGCCGATCCGTGCCGTGCGTCACTGGAGATTTATAAACCTTTGTTGAACGCAGCACGCTATTGGAATCTCGTGGATCTGCCGCGTTGATGGATGTGACTGTAACGGGGTTGAAGCGAGGGTTTCAGGATAAGCGCTAATGGCCAGTGGGAGGGCTCCGCGCTTAGAACGCGTCATCTTGCTACCAACCCGTTACGAGTTTTGAGACCTCTCAAAATGGGTGATCAGGCTGCTAGCGTTACGCTCGGAGACTATGAACCCTCCTCTCTGCGCTTTCTCCATCCGTTACGATTGTCTCAGCTCCTTCGTTTCATTCCAATCCTTCTGCCTGCATCTCGACGCCCTTTCCGCTCCTCGTCGTCTTTCCTTGTTGACCCCCAACTCCCCCCCCCTTTTCCTCTCCAATTCCCCCTCTCTCCTCTTTACTCAACCCCTCTCATTTGCAATTACCGCCACTTCTCCCCACTTTCCGCACTTCCCCGTGCTCCCTCTCCTCTCCGCCACCCTCTTCTCCCCATTTCCCCCTTGCTTTCCCCCTTCCTCCCCCGCTGCTACTTATTCGACCCCTTTTCTTCATCCACTCTCATTCCCCTTTAACCCCTCCTCCCATTCCCCCTTTCGTTTCCCCTTTTCCCCCTCCCCTTTCGCCCCTTCGTTTCCCCCTTTCCTCCCTTCCGCCTGTCCCCGGTCCTCCTTTCTGCCCGTCACCTCGCAGTGTCGTTAAAGCCCGACCTCTTCGAGGGTCTTCGCTTCGATTTCAACAAGCCGCTTAACCAGTCCTTCTCGCTCTCGCACAGGTGACACTCAGATAACCACTGGTCGCTCTCGCACAGGCGATGATCAACCAGTTATTTTCGCTCTAACACAGGTGATGATCAGGTATACCCTTTTCGCTCTCGCTTAGTCCCCTGCCGTTGTATAAGGCTTCACGTCACATGGACAATGACTGATAATGCGCCACATTTCTCGACTTCGCCGCCTCTCTCTTCCCCCCTTCACGGTCTTCCCCCTTCACGGTCTTCCCCCTTCACGGTCTTCCCCCTTCACGGTCTTCCCCCTTCACGGTCTTCCCCCTTCACGGTCTTCCCCCTTCACGGTCTTCCCCCCTTCACGGTCTTCCCCCCTTCACGGTCTTCCCCCCTTCACGGTCTTCCCCCCTTCACGGTCTTCCCCCCTTCACGGTCTTCCCCCTTCACGGTCTTCCCCCCTTCACGGTCTTCCCCCTTCACGGTCTTCCCCCTTCACGGTCTTCCCCCTTCACGGTCTTCCCCCCTTCACGGTCTTCCCCCCTTCACGGTCTTCCCCCCTTCACGGTCTTCCCCCCTTCACGGTCTTCCCCCCTTCACGGTCTTCCCCCTTCACGGTCTTCCCCCCTTCACGGTCTTCCCCCCTTCACGGTCTTCCCCCCTTCACGGTCTTCCCCCCTTCACGGTCTTCCCCCTTCACGGTCTTCCCCCCTTCACGGTCTTCCCCCTTCACGGTCTTCCCCCTTCACGGTCTTCCCCCTTCACGGTCTTCCCCCTTCACGGTCTTCCCCCTTCACGGTCTTCCCCCTTCACGGTCTTCCCCCTTCACGGTCTTCCCCCTTCACGGTCTTCCCCCTTCACGGTCTTCCCCCTTCACGGTCTTCCCCCTTCACGGTCTTCCCCCTTCACGGTCTTCCCCCCTTCACGGTCTTCCCCCTTCACGGTCTTCCCCCTTCACGGTCTTCCCCCCTTCACGGTCTTCCCCCCTTCACGGTCTTCCCCCTTCACGGTCTTCCCCCTTCACGGTCTTCCCCCTTCACGGTCTTCCCCCCTTCACGGTCTTCCCCCTTCACGGTCTTCCCCCCTTCACGGTCTTCCCCCTTCACGGTCTTCCCCCCTTCACGGTCTTCCCCCCTTCACGGTCTTCCCCCCTTCACGGTCTTCCCCCTTCACGGTCTTCCCCCTTCACGGTCTTCCCCCTTCACGGTCTTCCCCCCTTCACGGTCTTCCCCCTTCACGGTCTTCCCCCTTCACGGTCTTCCCCCCTTCACGGTCTTCCCCCCTTCACGGTCTTCCCCCTTCACGGTCTTCCCCCTTCACGGTCTTCCCCCCTTCACGGTCTTCCCCCCTTCACGGTCTTCCCCCTTCACGGTCTTCCCCCCTTCACGGTCTTCCCCCCTTCACGGTCTTCCCCCCTTCACGGTCTTCCCCCTTCACGGTCTTCCCCCTTCACGGTCTTCCCCCTTCACGGTCTTCCCCCTTCACGGTCTTCCCCCTTCACGGTCTTCCCCCTTCACGGTCTTCCCCCTTCACGGTCTTCCCCCCTTCACGGTCTTCCCCCCTTCACGGTCTTCCCCCTTCACGGTCTTCCCCCTTCACGGTCTTCCCCCTTCACGGTCTTCCCCCCTTCACGGTCTTCCCCCCTTCACGGTCTTCCCCCCTTCACGGTCTTCCCCCTTCACGGTCTTCCCCCCTTCACGGTCTTCCCCCCTTCACGGTCTTCCCCCCTTCACGGTCTTCCCCCTTCACGGTCTTCCCCCTTCACGGTCTTCCCCCTTCACGGTCTTCCCCCTTCACGGTCTTCCCCCTTCACGGTCTTCCCCCTTCACGGTCTTCCCCCTTCACGGTCTTCCCCCCTTCACGGTCTTCCCCCTTCACGGTCTTCCCCCTTCACGGTCTTCCCCCCTTCACGGTCTTCCCCCCTTCACGGTCTTCCCCCTTCACGGTCTTCCCCCCTTCACGGTCTTCCCCCCTTCACGGTCTTCCCCCCTTCACGGTCTTCCCCCTTCACGGTCTTCCCCCTTCACGGTCTTCCCCCTTCACGGTCTTCCCCCCTTCACGGTCTTCCCCCTTCACGGTCTTCCCCCTTCACGGTCTTCCCCCTTCACGGTCTTCCCCCCTTCACGGTCTTCCCCCTTCACGGTCTTCCCCCTTCACGGTCTTCCCCCCTTCACGGTCTTCCCCCTTCACGGTCTTCCCCCCTTCACGGTCTTCCCCCCTTCACGGTCTTCCCCCCTTCACGGTCTTCCCCCCTTCACGGTCTTCCCCCCTTCACGGTCTTCCCCACCCGCAGTGTGCCGATGGCAAGTGTTGAGGTGCCGCCTCAGTGGCACAGTCAAGTCATCTTTGCAACCACTCCAACCTCCCCCTCCCTCCACCCCCCTCTCCTTACGCACACCCGGCACCCGCAGTGTGCTGATGGGCAGTGCGGAGGTGCCGAATCAGTCGGGGGGCATTCTGAAGGTGCCGCATTCGTCGTACGAGTTTGGAGCGAATGTGCTCGACGCGAAGGTCAGTAGGATATGAGGGAGCAAGGCCAGGTGGTGCATTCTGAACGTGTGGGGTACAGTGGGGCATTCTGAAGGTGCCGCATTCGTCGTACGAGTTTGGGGCGAATGTGTTGGACGCTAAGGTCAGTGGGATGTGAGGGAGCAAGGCAAGGTGGTGCATTCTGAACGTGTGGGGTACAGTGGGGCATTCTGAAGGTGCCGCATTCGTCGTACGAGTTTGGGGCGAATGTGTTGGACGCTAAGGTCAGTAGGGATGTGAGGGAGCAAGGTAAGGTGGTGCATTCTGAACGTGTGGGGTACAGTGGGGCATTCTGGAGGTGCCACACTCGCCGTACGAGTTTGGGGCGAATGTGTGCTCGGCGCCAAAATAATATCACATTCTGTCCCATGGATTACAATGAATAAGTGTTCTCCCTGTAGGAAAAGTGTCGTGTGCCATTGTAACGAGGTGACTTTTGAGTCGACTCAAAAGTCACCTCAAAGTAATATCACATTCAAATTCAATCCCATGGATCACAAGGTTCGTCCTCCATGGATTCTTGGTGAGTCAGTTCAAAGATAATTTCACATTCTATTCGCCCTTGCGTGCATGCCCTCTCCTGGAGCCTTCCCCTCATTGCAAGTATAAGATGCTGATTGGGCGGATGGCGGGCAGCAGGTTGAGTGTACAGGTGAGCTATGTGTAGAGAGGGTGTTTTTGAGACGTCTCAAAAACACCCTCTCTGCAGGTGTGCTCCCAGGTTTCACCCGGCCGGATTCATCCTTTTCCTCACTCTCTCTCTCCCCGTCGTCTCTCTCTCCCCCCTTCCCTCTTCCCTTGTGCCACGTCACTGTCGGAACAGAAGATGCTGATTGGCCGGAAGGTGGACGGTAGGCTGAGTGCGCGGGTGAGCTACCAGGGTGCACCCGGCCGGCAGGCTTGTTTGTCCTTTCCCTGACTCTTTCCCCGTTGCCTCTCCTTCCCCACCCCCCTCCCCCACCCACCAACCCCCCCCTCTTTCGAGAGCAGAAGATGCTGATTGGCCGGATGGCGGACGGGAGGTTGAGTGCGCGGGTGAGCTGCCAGGTGACGGACAGCGTGGCGTTGAAGGTGAACGCGCAGATTGTCAACGAGCCGCACTTCTCGCAGGGCATGTTTCAACTCGACTACAAGGTGTGAGAGGGGAGAGAGAGAGTGAGTATGGGAAGCAGGTGAGTGCGCGGGTGATCTACCAGGTGACGGACAGCGTGGCGTTGAAGGTGAACGCGCAGATTGTCAACGAGCCCCACTTCTCGCAGGGCATGTTTCAGCTTGACTACAAGGTGCGTGTGTGGGGGTGAGAGAGGCGAGAGTGAGAGAGCAAAGAGAAAGCAGCTGAGTGCGCGCAGATCGTGAACGAGCCGCACTTCTCCCAGGGCATGTTCCAGCTTGACTACAAGGTGCGTGTGTGTGTGTGTGTGTGTGTGTGTGTGCGTGCGTGCGTGCGTGCGTGCGTGCGTGCGTGCGTGCGTGCGTGCGTGCGTGCGTGTGCGTGCGTGCGTGCGCGCGCATGTCAGTGTGTGCATGCAAGTGTGTGCGTGCGTGTGTGAGTGTGGGTGGGTCCATGAGAGGGAGAGCATGGGAAGCAGCTAAGTGCGTGCAGAGCGTGAACGAGCCACACTTGCCGCAGTGCAGGGCGTGTTCCATTCCTCGCCCTCCATCACTGCATTGATCGCACTACCAGTGACTTTTTGAGTCGACTCAAAAGTCACCTAGTCGACTCAAAAGTCACCTAGTCGACTCAAAAGTCACCTAGTCGACTCAAAAGTCACCTAGTCGACTCAAAAGTCACCTAGTCGACTCAAAAGTCACCTAGTCGACTCAAAAGTCACCTAGTCGACTCAAAAGTCACCTAGTCGACTCAAAAGTCACCTGGTCGACTCAAAAGTCACCTAGTCGACTCAAAAGTCACCTAGTCGACTCAAAAGTCACCTAGTCGACTCAAAAGTCACCTAGTCGACTCAAAAGTCACAACGAGCCACACTTGTCGCAGGGCATGCTCCATCCCTCGCCCTCCATCACTGCTTTGATCGCACTACCAGTGACTAATGCCAACGCGCAACAGCAGCACATTCTACAGACGAAGCCACAACCAGAGCATGACTTGAAACACTCTCTCCTCTCCCCACATCATTCATCCCTCCATCACTGCAGGGATCGAATTACCAGTGGCAGGCGCAGGTGGGCACCAACTCGTTCTATGGAGCGAATTACATTTAGAGCGTCACCCCCACACTCTCTTCTTGCCGCACATCTTTTTCTTTCGCAGGGGTCGGACTACCAGTGGCAGGCACAGGCGGGCAACAATGCATTCTACGGAGTGAACTACATTCAGAGCGTCCCTCAAAGCACTGGTTCCCATGCCCGTTACCCCTCCATCACTGCAGGGGTCGGACTACCAGTGGCAGGCGCAGGTGGGCAACAACGCGTTCTACGGAGTGAACTACATTCAGAGCGTCACACCCACGCTCTCCCTGGGCGGGGAGGCCTTCTGGCTGGGTCACCAGCGGCGCTCTGGGCTGGGCTTTGCTGGGCGATACAACACCGATAAAGTGGTGAGCTGCTGTTGCCGCCTCGTTCAGCAAGGCCTGTGCAGCTCTTATGGTCAAAACTACATTCAGAGCGTCACACCAACGCTCTCCCTGGGAGGAGAGGCCTTCTGGCTGGGCCACCAGCGGCGCTCCGGGCTGGGCTTTGCAGGGCGATACAACACCGATTAAGTGGTGAGCTGCTCTTGCTGGCGTGTGCTTTTGAGAATTCTCAAAACGCGTGCTGTAGGGGCATGTGCTCTTCCCCCTCTTCTTTCTCCTGGTCTAATCATGCCCGTCCTGCATCGCGCCGCGCCAATCCATGCCATCCCGCTTACTCCTCAGGCGCAGCGCCGACAGCACAGGTGGCGAGCGCAGGAGTGGTTACCATAACATGACCTATGTGCAAGTGCTTGCTCAAAGTCACGCACATCCCGCATTGCTCCAATTGCTATCCCGCATCCATCTCACTTGCTCCAGGTGGCGACGGCACAGGTGGCGAGCGCAGGAGTGGTTGCCATAACATAACCTATGTGCAACACGTGCTCCAAATCACGCACATCCGGCATTGCTCCAATTGCTATCCCGCATCCATCTCACTTACTCCAGGTGGCGACAGCACAGGTGGCGAGCACAGGGGTGGTGTCCATGACCTATGTGCAACGCGTGTCTGATAAGGTATGATGAGTTGGATAAGGTAGTATCTGAGTTGGATAAGGTGTGTGAATAGGGTGAAATTTGAGTCAACTCAAGAAGCACCTTGGAGTGGTGTCCATAGGTTCGCTCTGCACCTTGCGTGTTCCTTCATCTATCCCTCGTCGATCCTCATTGCCCTTTCCTCCTCAATGCCCGTGCTCATCCTCATCAGGTGGCCCTAGCAGCTGACTTCTTGCACAACTGGAACAGCAAGGAGTCCGCCACGAGTGTGGGATACGATTATATCCTGCGCCAGGTGTGTACAGGGAGTTTTGGGATACGATTGTATCCTGCGCCAGGTGTGTACAGGGAGTTTTGGGATACGATTGTATCCTGCGCCAGGTGTGTACAGGGAGTTTTGGGATACGATTGTATCCTGCGCCAGGTGTGTACAGGGAGTTTTGGGATACGATTGTATCCTGCGCCAGGTGTGTACAGGGAGTTTTGGGATACGATTGTATCCTGCGCCAGGTGTGTACAGGGAGTTTTGGGATACGATTGTATCCTGCGCCAGGTGTGTACAGGGAGTTTTGGGATACGATTGTATCCTGCGCCAGGTGTGTACAGGGAGTTTTGGGATACGATTGTATCCTGCGCCAGGTGTGTACAGGGAGTTTTGGGATACGATTGTATCCTGCGCCAGGTGTGTACAGGGAGTTTTGGGATACGATTGTATCCTGCGCCAGGTGTGTACAGGGAGTTTTGGGATACGATTGTATCCTGCGCCAGGTGTGTACAGGGAGTTTTGGGATACGATTGTATCCTGCGCCAGGTGTGTACAGGGAGTTTTGGGATACGATTGTATCCTGCGCCAGGTGTGTACAGGGAGTTTTGGGATACGATTGTATCCTGCGCCAGGTGTGTACAGGGAGTTTTGGGATACGATTGTATCCTGCGCCAGGTGTGTACAGGGAGTTTTGGGATACGATTGTATCCTGCGCCAGGTGTGTACAGGGAGTTTTGGGATACGATTGTATCCTGCGCCAGGTGTGTACAGGGAGTTTTGGGATACGATTGTATCCTGCGCCAGGTGTGTACAGGGAGTTTTGGGATACGATTGTATCCTGCGCCAGGTGTGTACAGGGAGTTTTGGGATACGATTGTATCCTGCGCCGTGTGTGTGTGTGGGGGTGGGGGAAGGGGGGGGGGTGCGTGCGTGCGTGCGTGCGTGCGTGTGTGCGCGCGCGTGCGTGTGGCTGTTACCAGAAGTGAGTGTACAGGCAGCTGTGTGTGTGGTTGTAAAAAGTAGTGAGTGTACAGCAAGGTGTGTTGTGTGTGCCCGTTGGGAGCAGCAAATGAGAGTGTACAGGGAGGTGCGCAGTGATTGCCTAGTGCAGTGATTGCCTAGTGCAGTGATTGCCTAGTGCAGTGATTGCCTAGTGCAGTGATTGCCTAGTGCAGTGATTGCCTAGTGCAGTGATTGCCTAGTGCAGTGATTGCCTAGTGCAGTGATTGCCTAGTGCAGTGATTGCCTAGTGCAGTGATTGCCTAGTGCAGTGATTGCCTAGTGCAGTGATTGCCTAGTGCAGTGATTGCCTAGTGCAGTGATTGCCTAGTGCAGTGATTGCCTAGTGCAGTGATTGCCTAGTGCAGTGATTGCCTAGTGCAGTGATTGCCTAGTGCAGTGATTGCCTAGTGCAGTGATTGCCTAGTGCAGTGATTGCCTAGTGCAGTGATTGCCTAGTGCAGTGATTGCCTAGTGCAGTGATTGCCTAGTGCAGTGATTGCCTAGTGCAGTGATTGCCTAGTGCAGTGATTGCCTAGTGCAGTGATTGCCTAGTGCAGTGATTGCCTAGTGCAGTGATTGCCTAGTGCAGTGATTGCCTAGTGCAGTGATTGCCTAGTGCAGTGATTGCCTAGTGCAGTGATTGCCTAGTGCAGTGATTGCCTAGTGCAGTGATTGCCTAGTGCAGTGATTGCCTAGTGCAGTGATTGCCTAGTGCAGTGATTGCCTAGTGCAGTGATTGCCTAGTGCAGTGATTGCCTAGTGCAGTGATTGCCTAGTGCAGTGATTGCCTAGTGCAGTGATTGCCTAGTGCAGTGATTGCCTAGTGCAGTGATTGCCTAGTGCAGTGATTGCCTAGTGCAGTGATTGCCTAGTGCAGTGATTGCCTAGTGCAGTGATTGCCTAGTGCAGTGATTGCCTAGTGCAGTGATTGCCTAGTGCAGTGATTGCCTAGCGCAGTGATTGCCTAGCGCAGTGATTGCCTAGCGCAGTGATTGCCTAGCGCAGTGATTGCCTAGCGCAGTGATTGCCTAGCGCAGTGATTGCCTAGCGCAGTGATTGCCTAGCGCAGTGATTGCCTAGCGCAGTGATTGCCTAGCGCAGTGATTGCCTAGCGCAGTGATTGCCTAGCGCAGTGATTGCCTAGCGCAGTGATTGCCTAGCGCAGTGATTGCCTAGCGCAGTGATTGCCTAGCGCAGTGATTGCCTAGCGCAGTGATTGCCTAGCGCAGTGATTGCCTAGCGCAGTGATTGCCTAGCGCAGTGATTGCCTAGCGCAGTGATTGCCTAGCGCAGTGATTGCCTAGCGCAGTGATTGCCTAGCGCAGTGATTGCCTAGCGCAGTGATTGCCTAGCGCAGTGATTGCCTAGCGCAGTGATTGCCTAGCGCAGTGATTGCCTAGCGCAGTGATTGCCTAGTGCAGTGATTGCCTAGTGCAGTGATTGCCTAGTGCAGTGATTGCCTAGTGCAGTGATTGCCTAGTGCAGTGATTGCCTAGTGCAGTGATTGCCTAGTGCAGTGATTGCCTAGCGCAGTGATTGCCTAGCGCAGTGATTGCCTAGCGCAGTGATTGCCTAGCGCAGTGATTGCCTAGCGCAGTGATTGCCTAGCGCAGTGATTGCCTAGCGCAGTGATTGCCTAGCGCAGTGATTGCCTAGCGCAGTGATTGCCTAGCGCAGTGATTGCCTAGCGCAGTGATTGCCTAGCGCAGTGATTGCCTAGCGCAGTGATTGCCTAGCGCAGTGATTGCCTAGCGCAGTGATTGCCTAGCGCAGTGATTGCCTAGCGCAGTGATTGCCTAGCGCAGTGATTGCCTAGCGCAGTGATTGCCTAGCGCAGTGATTGCCTAGCGCAGTGATTGCCTAGCGCAGTGATTGCCTAGCGCAGTGATTGCCTAGCGCAGTGATTGCCTAGCGCAGTGATTGCCTAGCGCAGTGATTGCCTAGCGCAGTGATTGCCTAGCGCAGTGATTGCCTAGTGCAGTGATTGCCTAGTGCAGTGATTGCCTAGTGCAGTGATTGCCTAGTGCAGTGATTGCCTAGTGCAGTGATTGCCTAGTGCAGTGATTGCCTAGTGCAGTGATTGCCTAGTGCAGTGATTGCCTAGTGCAGTGATTGCCTAGTGCAGTGATTGCCTAGTGCAGTGATTGCCTAGTGCAGTGATTGCCTAGTTGCCTAGTGCAGCAGGTGTGTGTGTGGCGTTGGCAATAGGTGATTGTAACGGGTGGCAGTCACAGTCACCAAGGTGACAGGAACAAGGTGGTTGGGATAAGTCCACCGTCATGTATGTGACTGAGTTGAGTCATTTCGGCTTCCCCCCTCCCACTTTTTCATGTTTCCACCAACCAGTGCCGGCTGTACATAAATGGATGTGTACCATCCTGTGTGATGCTCACAGTCATTCCCACTAGTCTCTTTTTCTCCAATCCCATCTTCCCCCCCCTCCCCTCCTCCCTTGTGTTTCCACCAATCAGTGTCGGCTGCGTGGGCGACTGGACACCAATGGGTGTGTAGCGGCGTATCTGGAAGAGAGGCTCAATCTTGGGGTCAATCTCCTTTTCTCCGCTGAGGTATGCCTTTATTGAGCGTTGATGTCTGACGTTTGCGCTTGTGTGGATCGCTGAGCCTGGATGTTTCCTAAGCCCTTGGATTCTTAACAATCCTTTTTCCTTTTCTTTTTCTTTTTCTTTTGTGGTGCCCAACCTTGACTTCCAGGTGGATCACTGGAAAAAGGACTATAAATTTGGATTTGGCATGTCTGTTGGGGAATAGCTGATCGCTCAGTTATCTCTTGATGAACGAAACCTCTGCAAACAATTGCAGATTAGCTAGCTGCCATGTAAATGAGTACCAAGAGCTGTCACGTAGGTTTTTGTTTCTTATAGCTAGCACACAGTCCATCCTCACTTTCAGATAATGTTTCCATTCAAATTATGGTATTCCTTTCTGATTTTTTTTTTTCTTTCATTGTGCGAATGTATCAATTTAATTGAATACGGTTCTCTTCTATGGTATGTTTTCTCAGTCCCCTAAACTACGGTAGCTTACTTTATCGGCTTCTTGCGAGCGAGAATGACTAACGAGTTGTAACCCTATGTGAGGACATCGAAAGTTTCGCGACAGCTGTGTCAAAATGTTCCCAGTTGTCTCTGCGAGGTTGGTGAAGTATTGAGATATATATTTATTTGTAACGCCTTTTGCGAATGAGCAAAACGAAAATACCAAGACGAAGAGGGCGGCTCGTATTCAGCGTCGGAGCGCGTGAGTGAAAAGTGGGTTCGACATGCTGCCAGCAATAATCTCGCAGCAGCAGCTCGCAAAGACCAATAATCGTAGAACGCATGAGCAAAACAAGCGCGACAGAGGAGCAGCAGTTCTCTTGTGGAGGTACAAAGGCGAGTGCGAAGCTGATTCGCTCGCCATTTTGCCTTCACGAACAAACAACAGCCCTAGTAGAACGTCCGTAGTTGCCCAAACCATGGACACAAACGCATGTCTCGTGCGGCTAATAGGCCTGCTAGCTGTCATTCTGTCCTTGATTCATTTCCAACCTGCCTTCGCCCTTCGAGTTCTAACCAATCCCGCAGCAGCCCATGTTGGTGCTGATAACGAAGCTTCTCTAGCGGGAGCTGCTACTGATACGGTTGTATCGGGAAAGAGCGGTCCAGAGGCAGCGAGCGTGATACAGAGCGGTGCAGCGGACCCGTGCACGCTGTGGAGTCAGGAAATCGCCACGAATGCAGCGAGCTGGGACATTGCGAAGCCCTCTACAGTTCGCGAATGCTTGCGAAATTTCAAAATCAGGTAACGCGCGTTCGTAAACGAGAGGATAATATCGCAAGCAAGCAGCCTTGATTATTCCGCGATGACCTTGGTCTTTGATCATCAAAAGTCTAAAAGATAACTATCATGACGGTGAGCAGAGGGAGTGACGTGGAAGATCTTCGGTCCGTGGTCAACGGAGTCAACAATCACTACGCGTACAAAGACATCGCCGTTGACTCGCCCGACCAGACGAACCTTCCCAGCAGCGTCGACATTGTCGCGGAACTCACGGCCATTCTGCAGCGCGCCGAGCGGGGCGAATACGAACGGCTGATGGACGCCCACGTGGACACGTTCAACGAGATCAACGGCCTGAACGACGGCCACACGATGTTCTCGTCCAACTGCTTCTTCAGCATGGTCACGTTCTTCCTGCCTCTCCCGCTTTTCGCGGTCGTGGAGGACGGTCAGCAGATAGTTCGCGTCGCGAGGCACCGATGTAAGTGTGCCGCGCGATTCTAAAGTCTTTCACACGCTCACTCGCACACCCCGCGCACAAGAACTCGTTTTCCAATTACGCTTCGTTAATGTTTATAAGCCGCGCTTCTTTATTGTGTACAAGTAACGCTTCCTTGGCCGCGTTTCACTGCGCTGTATCCCCTTCAGACCTCGCATGGTTCGAAGGAATCGATGAGGACGCGAAGAAGTTATGGGGTTTCGATTTTTCCGCCTACGAGTTACAACAGGTACACTACTGTAACAAAAAAACCCCCATTAAATAGGAAACCATGCCTGATTGCATCCATCCTCCCCTCTGCCTCCCTCTTTCCCTCGTTCGGGTGCTCACAATCGAGGGCCAGCCGGCAGTGCAGTATATCAAGCAGTGGGCGGACAAATAAGGCGGCATTTCCTGTAACCCCACTAGCACAACCCAATGAGTGCCCAATCCCACCTGCTCTCCCTCTTCCCCTCGTTCAGGTGCTCACAATCGAGGGCCAGCCAGCACTAGAGTACATAAAGCAGCGGGCGGACAAGCACGGCGGCATGGTGCGCAACCCCACTAGCCCAGCACACTGACTGGCGTCTCTCCCTCCCTCTTCCCTTCCCACAGGTACTCACAATAGAAGTCCAGCCAGCACTAGAGTACATTAAACAGTGGCCGGACAAGTACGGCGGCATGGTGCGCAACCCCTCAAGCACCACACAGTGACTCTCCGCTCTCCTACCTGCCCTTCCTCCCCCCTCCCCACCGGTGGTCACCATAGAGGGCCAGCCGGCAGTGCAGTATATCAAGCAGTGGGCGGACAAGCACGGAAATGGGCATGGTGCGCAACCCCAGTGGCCCAGCACACTGACTGGCGTCTCTCCCTCCCTCTTCCCCTTCCCACAGGTACTCACAATAGAGGGCCAGCCAGCACTAGAGTACATAAAGCAATGGGCGGACAAGTACGGCGGCATGGTGCGCAACCCCAGTGCGCGCTTCAACACCATGTTCGCAGGCCTCGACCCAGAGGGACGCGCCAGCTTGCGGCAGCACCCGGGGGAGTTTGTCCTGAGGGAGCTGGTTCCAGAGAGCGACTCGCTGCAGGTGTCCATTCTGAGAGGGTGAGTGAGAAATATCTGCTGGCGCGTCCCATCCGTTACTTTTGAGTTGTCCCAACAGTCACCTGGAGCCAGCTTGGGGCCACACCCTTGCTCTGAGGGAGCTGGTTCCAGAGAGTGACGCGCTGCAAGTGTATGTCGCTGGTTTTAACTCCTTCACGGCCATCTTGGTACCACTGAATTCCATGTGGTGTTGTTCTGTTGTCACGCCCTGCGTGACAGCCATGGCACACTCACGTTCTCTGCTATGGCTGGCTGTCTCTAGCTCAGAGGCTTTCACCGACTCGCACTCCTACTGGACCCTCAACTGTGTTGCATTGTTTTGTTTTATTGTGTACCCCCTCGTGTGGAGCCACAGGGGAGCATCAGAGAACGTGAGTGTGCCATGGCTAGCTGTCTCAAGCTCAGAGCCCTTCACCGACTCCCTCGGGACTCTCAACTGCATTGCTTTTTTTTTTGTCCCTGTGGTCCCCTCTGGTTGGGAGCAACAGGGGGGCAGCAGAGAATGTGAGTGTGCCATGGTTAGCTGTATCAAGCTCAGAGCCCTTCACCGACTCCCACTCCTACTGGACCCTCAACTGCATTGCTTTCTTTTCTTTTCTTTTGTCCCTGCGGTCCCCTCTGGTTGGGGGCGACAGGGGGGCAGCGGAGAATGTGAGTGTGCCATGGCTGGCTGTCTCAAGCTCAGAGCCCTTCACCGACTCGCACTCCTACTGGACACTTAACTGCGCCAAGCACAACGAGCCCTGTGCAGACGACGCTGCTGCTGGCAGCGCAGCAAGCAGCAGCAGCGGTAAAAGCAGCAGCAGTGATAGCAGCAGCGAGGAGAGGGATTTACGGGCGCCGCGTCCTTTGTTTCAGCGTGACGTGCTGAGGAGGCGACCCCAGTATCGGCGACGCCAGCAGCGCCACAAGCGCCAGCAGCAGCAGCAGCCGCAGCAGCAGCCGCACCAGCAACCGCAGCAGCGACCGCAGGAACAGAAGGAGCCAGAAGGCCCGAGCCGCAACCCTTCAGGCAGCGATGCACAGAGCAGCAGCGAGGCGACACCCAGGATACTGGCTGGCGAGGATGCGGCAAGGATCACCGTGGAGAGGGTGTCTGCTGACGATGCCTACTACCTGGTATGCTGGCGTGGCTGTGTGCGGGTGATTATAGTCTGACTGAAAAATCGGCTCATTGCACGCGGTTGAAAAGTCATTTGTTTACTGGCTGGCGAGGATGCAGCAAGGATCACCGTGGAGAGGGTGTCCACTGATATGCGGACGAGAGAGTGCCTGCTGACGATGCCTACTACCCGGTAAGCTGAGTGTGACTGAAAGCGGGCGTGACTGTATGCGGGTGTGGGAGTGATTGTATGCTTTAATGACTGTTCTGTTGTGAGTGTATGCGGTCGTGAGTGTCACTGCATGTCGGTGTCACTATTCCTGTGGACGCCTTACCCGTGAACGCAATCATGCACCTTATTCAAACTTCCAACTTTCCCTTCTGCATCCCTCCTCTCTCCCCTGTCTCTCCCCTCAACCCGTCTCAACCGCACTGCACCCCTCCATCAGGTGTATCTACTGAGCAACCGCACAGCAGTGATAGTGCTGCACACCTTTGACGTGGACAGCACCACGGCTGAGGAGCTCGCAGCCACAAACCCACACGTGCACCCATTTTCACCCCTCTACACCCCTCTGCATTCACCTACACCCTTGTGCACCCCTCCGCGCCCCTCTCAGGTGTATCTGTTGAGCAACCGCACGGCAGTGATCGTGCTGCACACCTTTGATGTGGACAGCACCACGGCTGAGGAGCTCGCAGCCACCAGCTCTAGCGTGCAACTCTGTTCTCCAACCTACACTGCTCTGCAACCATATGCACCCCTCTATGCCCCTCGGCAACGCTTTCCGACCCTCTGCACCCCTCGCAGGTGTATCTGCTCAGCAATCGCACGGCAGTGATAGTGCTGCACACCTTTGATGTGGACAGCACTACAGCCAAGGAGCTCGCAGCCGCAAACCCCAACGTGGATAGCTTTGACTACCTCAAAGGGGAGATCCTCAGAGCCTTGGATGCTGCCAAGAGGTATGCAGTCTAGTTTTGAGGCGCCTCAAAACTGCCCTCCGTGCTGGTCCTGTATGCTCCATCTCAATAGTGCAGCTGCCAGCCCGGGCGTGGACTTGCTTGACTACCTTAAAGGGGAAATTCCCACAATTCACCCCTCCCCACAAATTTCCATTCCCCCAACTCCCCGCAAACCCCCCACCCCCGGCCCCCCCGCGCCTCTCCCCGAGCGCAGCACCAACTGCAGGGAGGTCATACGTGCGCGCCACCATACCACTCACCCATCCATCCCCAGAAATCAATCTTTCCTCCCACCTCCCTGACTTCCACCTCCGTCAATCCCCCTGCCTTCCCCGCCTCCCCCGCAGCACCAACTGCGCGGAGGTCATATTTGAGACGTCCCATAAGTCGTTCCCCCCTCCCCCACCCCCCCAACCCCCACGCCTCTCCCCCCACGAGCAGCACCAACTTTGCGGAGGTCATATTCGACGTGCGCGTGAACGGCGGCGGGTTCACGGCGCTGGGCTCCGTCACGCTCGTCACGCTCCTCGGCACGCGCAACGTGCCTCTAGCGGACGCAACCCTACCCATGGACTTCCTTATAGGCACCAATTTCACCTGGAGCCTTGTAACGGATCAAGCCATCCCCACTTATGCCGCGGACGGCTATACGAGTCCCAGCGACGGCGCGTCGGCACTCTCCTCTGCGCTAGACTACACGCCTCTGCAGAACATCTCGTTTACAGCGGCCGGCCGTCGCGGCACCTACACCGCGGATTTTAAGGCGTATTTTGAGAATCTGTACGGGGAATTGGCGGCGCGGCCCGGGTCGGAGGAGCCGCTTTTCGGCGCGCGGCCGTTTCTGTTTCTGGCCGACGGCGACTGCTTTTCCACGTGCGCCATCCTCACGCACATGCTGGGTAAACGCTACAAAGTACCCATGGTAACCGTGGGTGGTTACCTCAACCAGCCCGTGTCCGTGAGCGCGTCGTGCCTGGGCTACACCATGCTCTCGTTAAACTGCGACGTTTCCGTCCCTCTAAGCCGCACGAACCACGCCAACGACCCGCACGCGTCGAAACCGTTTAAAACGAACATGGATGTTTCCATGGCTTTTACTAACGGGTACGTGGACTCGAGCGTTCCGTGCGAGTTCGAATTTCTGCCGAGTCAGCGCCACGTGGATTACACAGTAGATCGGATCGACAAGCCCTGGGTCATCTGGAACGACGTTGCGAAACTATTTCCAGAATTGCCGCTGCCACCAGTGATCGCTCAGTCGCAGGCGGCAGCGTAACACTTCCGCAAATGCACCGTCAGTCACGCGACACGGTTTGGCGAATAAAGAGGAGTTGCCACCGACCATCCCAGCATTACCCTAACGAATAAGAGACTCCCTGTATATGTTGGCGCGTTTAGGGTGCTCGTTAGCACTACAGTCACCTATTTGGCATGGCATGATGTTCCCCGTGTTCTATGTTTGACGCCTTCAATACTTCGTTATGGAGTTATCCGCTCTACCAGCTGGACAATCCATGTTTTGATTTAAAACACCAAGTGAAATATCCATATATATATGCACAGCTCCGTGCTGTACCCCGCCTTGCCACTGTACCCACGAAATTGGCATGTCCGTTTTGTCAGAAATTGACCCGTGGGACAGGCTCTCGATAGCACACGTGCGCCTTTGGTAGGGTGCCTAAAAAAGGGAAAATATGCCACAAGTAACGAACTTGGGACTCGATAACGTAAATGGTGCAAAAAAAACGCGTACGGTCACTGTATCGGGTTTCCAGACGGGTTTGGTAAGTGGGGTCACGGATTCAGTCATTAACAACAGGTAAAAAATCACGCGAATGGTCACACATGTAACTCCCGCCAAAAAAACTTGAAACTCAACAAAATTCCCGCTCGCCCCCAACCAATCTGCGAACTTGTAAAAAAAAACTAAAACCCAATCGGAATCGGATGCGGTTCGGGAACGGATCAACCCTAAACACCTGGCTAGTTACGTGTTAGGGTTGATTCATCCGAAAATGCACCCAGATTCTTTTTGGGTTTCATTTTGTTTTGGCGGGAATTTCATCTGTGACCATTCGCGTTTTTTTTTACCTGTTGATTGTGACTGATTCCGTGAAACTCTTTATCAGTCGCGTGAAAACACCCTTTGCAGTGACCGTACCCTTTATTTTTTTTACCAACTGTGTTATCGAGTCCCATGAAGGTTACGAATGGCATATTTTCCCCCTAAAAAACACATCCAGACAGGGACAATCGCCCTGCCCTGCCCCTGCCGTGCCCTCCCATGATCCATCCCTCCCATCCGTCGCGGCGCGGCGGTGAGGTGGGCGTGGGTCATGCGCAGGAATATAGCTGCTCCTTCGCGCTCTTTCACTTGGCTGCTTCAACCCAGATCTCGCTTGCCGTCTGCTCGCCGTCCATTGGCTGATCTGTCGGGCAGGTCTCGTTTTAGGGCGCACGGATCGGTTTCCTCCTGCACTCCGTTGTGCACGTGTGCTGTTAGTTCACAGACAGCCGACTCCGCCCACAGCCATTGCCTCGGGTCGGGTCGGGTGTAAGGAAGGACCGTCTCATGCCGCCGCAGAGGCACGATCGGTCGTGCGTGGTAAATGGGATCGGGGATCAACGCCAGATCGGGTTCATGCGCGACTGTTTCGCACGATCGGTACAGCCGACGTTTCCTATATCGGAAATGTCTCCCTTATCCAAACGCACAGTTCGAATCGACCGCCTTGAGAAGCGCGGCTCGTATTCAGCGTCGGAGCGCGTGAGTGAAACGTTGGTTCTAACAACATGCTCGCTTAGCCAGCAATACCTTCCTGGCGGCGCGAGCTCGCAAGCAGTGCTTGGAATAATCGTGGAGTATATAAACAAAACAGAGAGTGCGACATAGCAGCAGCAGCAGTTTTTGTTGTGGGGGTGCAAAGGCGAGCAAGCCGATTCACTCGCCACCTCACAACTTCAGCCGCAAGCGTCAGAACTCTGACGCTCCTACTACCCGGTAGAGCCGTCCCTCGTTGCGGCCCAAGCCATGGGTTTACAGGGACGCCTCGCCGCGGGTGGGCCTGTTGCTAACTTTCGTTCTCTCCATGATTTTTTTCCGACCTGCCTTCGCCGGTCGACTTCTCGTAGACGATTCCGTAGCAGCCTCCCTCAATGCTGATCGCGAAGCTTCTCTCGCGGGAGCTGCTGATGTTACCGTGCAGCGGACCCGTGCGCGCTGTGGAGTCGGGAAATTGCCACGAATGCAGCGAGCTGGGACATTGCGAAGCCCTCTACACTTCGCGACTGCTTGCGAAACCTCAAAATCAGGTAACGCGCCGCGTTAACGAGAGGCTGTGACCTTCTGGAAACCATTCACCAAATACTTTAGCACGCTTTTCTGTCTTTCCGTAATTACTCTCTTTGACTTTGAGCAGAGAGAGTGACGTGGAAGATCTTCGGTCCGTGGTCAACGGAGTCAACAACCACTATGCCTACAAGGACACAGCCATTGACTCGCCGGACCAGACGAACCTTCCCAGCAGCGTCGACATCGTCGCGGAGCTGACGGCCGTTCTGCAGCGCGCCGAGCTGGGCGACAACGAACGGCTGATGGACGCCCACGTGGACACGTTCAACGCGATCAACGGCCTGAACGCAGCAAGCAGCAGCGGCGGCGGCGGCGGCGGCGGCAGCGGCGGCGGCGGCGGCGGCGGCGGCGGCAGCAAAGAGAGGGATTTGGGGGAGGCGCTTGCTGTGTTCCAGCGTGATGCGGTGAGGAGGCGACTCCAGTACCGGCCACACCAGCAGCCCCACAGGCGGCAGTTGCACCGGCTGTTGCAGGAGCAGCAGGCAGAGGGGCAAGCGGAGCGGGGGGGAGCGGAGCAGGGGATGGGTGAGGAGGATGAAGAGGGGGAGGATCAAGAGGGGGAGGGGCAAGAGACGGAGGGGCAAGAGGAGCAGGGGCAAGAGGCGCAGGGGCAAGAGGCGGGTGGGGAAGAGGCGGGTGGGGAAGAGGCGGGTGGGGAAGAGGCGGGTGGGGAAGAGGCGGGTGGGGAAGAGGCAGGTGAGGAAGCGACGGGTGGGGAAGAGGCGGGTGGGGAAGCGACGGGTGGGGAAGAGGCGGGTGGGGAAGAGGCGGGTGGGGAAGCGACGGGTGGGGAAGAGGCGGGTGGGGAAGCGACGGGTGGGGAAGAGGCGGGTGGGGAAGAGGCGGGTGGGGAAGAGGCAGGTGAGGAAGCGACGGGTGGGGAAGAGGCGGGTGGGGAAGCGACGGGTGGGGAAGAGGCGGGTGGGGAAGAGGCGGGTGGGGAAGCGACGGGTGGGGAAGAGGCGGGTGGGGAAGCGACGGGTGGGGAAGAGGCGGGTGGGGAAGAGGCGGGTGGGGAAGAGGCGGGTGGTGAAGAGGCGGGTGGGCAAGGGGCGCCGGTGGTAATCATCTTCTAAGAAGCGTGGCTCTTAGGGTGTAGAGTTGGAGTAGTCAGAGTAGTTACGGTAGTAAAGTAGTTGGTAGCTAATACCGTAGTTGGTTGTTGGTTGTCAGTGACACTCAGCTGTCAAGTGGTGCTGAAGGGGAGCAGGTTGGTTGAACGTGTGTCAGCCAGTGCCAAGATGCACAGCTTCTAGATTTGGACTCGCAGAACGGATCAGGTTTGGCCGCTTCAGGGCGACTTTTGGGCTAACTCGGGCTTACCGTATTAAACCCGTAGCACAATCGTAGTAGTTTATGCTAGTTAGAGCTTTCTGGATCTCCATGTAACCTGGTAATATCTAGATTGTGAGTGCGAGCTGAGCAACTTTTAAAGCGCCTCGAAAGCCGTCCAGGGGTGGTTGAAATGAAGGTGTCCAGCCCAAAACATAGAGCTTTTCAAGGTAAGCGGGAGCTAGCGAAGGGAGGCAAAACAAGCCATACCCAGCATGAATAACCCACCCCACGCACGCCTTTCTGACCAGAACGCAGCATCATCATCATCATATGGTACTGGTATTCAGGGGCCGTATGTTTCATTCTTGCATACCAGTTCTTTTATTTAGCAGGACAACCCGTGGTGTTTAGTTAGTCAAGTCAGTTTTTCATCCAGATCCAGCTCCGACCTGTGAGCTGCAATTGTGTAATTTTCATGTGCCGTACACTTGCCTGGTAATCTATTGTACCGTACATGACAAGTCAGAGTGAAATGCATCTCATAATGCTGGAGCTACAGGCAGCCAACAGGTCGGTGGTAACCGTGTGCCTTGTAAGATGCTTTTGCTGTATGTCACATTCACTTGCTGGCTGCAGGCAGCAGCATATCACCGGATGCATGCGAAGGTGGTTACAGGGATGGCTCTGGTTGGTGTGTGATGGTGTGGGATGCACCATCATCCGATGCTCGTCAAATCCGTTTGGTGTGACAGCTCAGCATGCATGGGTGCTGAGTCAGCAGTTGAAAAGGAGGGAGAGGTAGGAGAAGCAGCCGGGCCAGGAGGCAGGAGGAACGGTCGCCGGATGTCACTTGCTCCAGGCTCGGCAGCAGACGGGATAGGTACGGCCAGAGCAGAAGAGGAGGCTCGGGAGCTGGCAGGGTGCCTTAGCCAAGGTAGGTTGGGAAGCAACGAGGTGAGAAGCAACGGCGAAGATGATGGGTGGGATTGTGCGTGAGAGGAGGAACGAGAGGAGGGAGAGGAGGAGTGAGAGGAGGAGTGAGAGGAGGGAGAGGAGGCCTCTGATCTTGAGGAAGAGGGGGAGGAGGATGAGGAGTGGAGTTGGCTCGGCAAAGGAGGCGTGGGAACAGAGGGATGTGCCGCAATGTTGGTGCCAGCAGTGCTGCTGCTGCTGCTGCTGCTGCTGCTGCTGCTGCCGCTGCTGCTGCTGGTGCATGTGTCAGGAGGGGAGGTGGAAGGTGCGTGTGCGTCTCTCTTGCAGATGGGGCAGAGGGGCTGTTTGGTGGTTAGCCACTCGTCCACACACTCCGCATGGAACTCTGGGGGACACCAGGTGTGGGGGGGGATGGGAGGAGGAATGGAAAGGAGAGGGGTGAGTCGATTGAAAAGCCGATCGTCACTCGTCCACACACCTCCGCATGGAACTCTGGGAGATAAGGGGGAGCAAGGGTGTCGAAAGGAAAAGGGGAAGACGGGAAGGAGGGGAATGAGTGGACTCCAAAGCCTTTCATCAACAGTCAGCGGGAAACTCTGCAGGCGATGAGCGGCGGACAGAGGGGGAGGGAAGCGGGGAGATGGGATGTGGAGAGGGGAGGGGGAGGGGGAGAAGGGGAGAGGGGGAGGGGAGAGGGGAGAAGGCATAGCGGATAGGGGAGAGGGAAGAGGGTCGAGGGGAGAAGGGAGAAGGGAGACGGGAGAGGGGAGGATTGTGGGTTGGGTCATTCGCTGGTCCCCTCAACGTGGGACTCTGAGAGCGGCGAGAGAGGAGGTTGGGGAGGGAGGGTGCGGTGGGGGATGGGGGAGAGTAGAAATGAGAGGGGATAGTGAGATTGCGGAATAGTCATGGTTTAAAGAGGGGAGGAGTAAGGAGGGGAGGGGAGGGGAGAGGAGAGGAGAGGAGAGGAGGGGACGGGAGGGGTGAAAGGCATGGTGAGGCTTAGGCAGCCTAACGCATAGGGAAGAGGGGGTGGGAATATGCGGTTTTTGAAGGAAGGGCTGGGGAAGGCGGGGGAAGGGAGGGGTTGGGGGATAGGGCAAGGCAAGGCAAGGCAAGCGCACCATGTCCGCAGAGCAGCACTCTCAGGCGGTCCCAGGTTTGGTAGTCGTCCAGGCAGATGGCGCACGTCTCCAACGCTCTGCTCCACCCTCTCCAGAGTCGACTAAAAGATTCGGTTGGGACGGGGTTAGCTTTCCATGTCCGCAGGGCAGCACTCTCAGGCGGTCGCCCGACTGGTAATCGTCCAGGCAGATGGCTGCTTCACCCTTGTTTTGAGCCGACTAAAAGTTTGGGTTGGGACGGGGTTAGCTTACCATGTCCGCAGGGCAGCACTCTCAGGCATCCAGACAGATGGCGCGCGTCTCCAGCGCCCTGCGCTACCTCTCAAGTCTTGAGACGCCTCAGAACTCACCATGTCCGCAGGGCAGCACTCTCAGGCATCCAGACAGATGGCGCGCGTCTCCAGCGCCCTGCGCTACCTCTCAAGTCTTGAGACGCCTCAGAACTCACCATGTCCGCAGGGCAGCACTCTTAGGCATCCAGACAGATGGCGCGCGTCTCCAGCGCCCTGCGCTACCTCTCAAGTCTTGAGACGCCTCAGAACTCACCATGTCCGCAGGGCAGCACTCTCAGGCATCCAGACAGATGGCGCGCGTCTCCAGCGCCCTGCGCTACCTCTCAAGTCTTGAGACGCCTCAGAACTCACCATGTCCGCAGGGCAGCACTCTCAGGCGGTCGCCCGACTGGTAGTCGTCCAGGCAGATGGCGCACGTCTCCAACGCCCTGCTCCACCCTCTCCGCCTCCTCCTCCCCGCCTCCTTTCCCTTCTTTCCCTCCTTTCCCTCCCTTCCCTCCTCTCCTCCCTCACTTCTGCCCTGCTCCTTCCCCTCCTCCACATCTCCCAGCAACTCATCCGCATCCTCCCCTGCCTCCGCTCCTTCATCCCCTTTACAAGCTTCCGCGAGATCTTCCATAGAAGGCGAGTACGTGATTTCCGGAAGCGCTTTCAACTCCGCAGCTGATAAGCCAATGCGCTTCTCACGCGGCGGCGGCGGAAGCAGCAGCGCGCGCATCACCACGAGCCCCTCCTCCCCCATCCCCCCGTCGGCTTCCGCTTCCGCACCCGCGGCCCCCCACGCGCCGCCCCTCCGCGCCTCCTCGAGCGCGCGCCGTATCCGCTGCTGGCGCACGATAATGAGAAACGCGGAGAGGAAGACGGAGAGCGTGAGCAGCGCGAGCAGCGCCGCGGCGAGCAGCGGGAGGAGCGAGCCGGAGAGGGTGGGGAGGAGGATGAGGAGCGACGCGGGTTGCGCGGCGAGGAGCGAGAGTAGTAAATGGCCGTCCGCGTGGGAGATGTAGACGGCCGGGATTGCGACATCCCACACGTTGCGCGCGGACACTGTGGGGCGTGGGCGCGGGGGAGGAGAGGGGGAGGGAGAAGAGATTATTGAGGCGACTCAAAAACCGTCCGCATGCGAGATGTAGACCGCGGGGATCGCCACGTCCCGCACGTTGCGCGCCGACACTGCGCAGGCGGCGGGGAGAACGGGGGGCGGGGATTGCGGGGAGGGGAGGGCGGGTGGGTAAAGAGCGCGGAACAGCCACATCGCACAACCCTGAGTCGGGGGAAGTAGATTCGAAGGTGATGAGGAAGGAGGGGCAGTAAGAACAACGAGAGGAGCGAGAGCAGCAGGTGGCCATCCGCCACACGTTGCGCGCGGACACTGCGCAGGCGGCGGGGAGAACGGGGGCCGGGAATTGCGCGGACACTGGGGGGAGTGGGCGTGTGGGGGGAGAAGGGGAGTGGGCGCGTGGGCGCGTCCAAAACGATAGGGGAATACAGGGCACGTGAAAATGTGCTATTATTGTGCTGTACTCACTCGATATAAGCTCGTCGTTGTCCTCGTTATTGAACACTATCGCGGCCGCGTACCCCGCCACTTGCGCGTTCAGCACCTTGGTGTCGAATAGGCAGTTGCCACGTGTGATCAGCGCGAAGGCCCGCTCGGCGCGTTTTGCGCGGGACGCGAGCGGCTGACACGCGTCGAGCGGCTCCGCTCGGCGCAGAACGCCGCGAATGCCGCTCGAAGGGATGATACCGCCTGCAGACGGCGGGGGGAGAGAGCGGGGAAGGAGGGAGAGACATCGGCGGGTGGGGGGAAAGAGGTGGTGGGGGGAGGATTGGAGATACGTCGGAAGAAAAGAGGTAAAGCGCGCGGAGTGGGAGGACAGAAGAATAACCACAGATTCTGCCGGAATTCGTCAATGATTTCACTGTCACAGAGGCAAACGTCAACGTTTCTACTGTAGCAGACGGAGATCGTTAACGGCTTCTCTGTAGTCAACGGACAGAAGCGCGAGTTGACTAACGGCGGGCCAAGCCGCCTTGCATCGGCCATAGCTGCACGGAATTCGTTTTCCCAACGGCGTTGCAGCTATGGCCGATGCAAGGCGGCTTGGCCCGCAGCTGCGCTGCACTCCAGTTTTGAGACGTCTCAAATCTCAGAAATAAGTTTGAGACGTCTCAAATCTCAGAAATAAGTTTGAGACGTTTCAAAGCCATGGCCGCTGCAAGGTGGCTTGGCCCGCAGCTGCGCTGCACTTCGCGTGCTCGCTAAGTTAAGCGACTCGCAGCAGGGGAGAGGGTGAAACGCTGGCGAAGTGTCAAGACAGTGCCAAAGATGGTGAAGCGTGGGGTTCGCGGGGCGCAGTGCTGGTGCGGTGCAAGGCGTGCTGCATTTCAGGTGGTGAGTGCGCGGCGGGTGATTGAGCGTTGGGTGAGTGCGCGGAGGGTGAGTGCGCGGCGGGTGATTGCGCCGCAGGTGATTGCGCGGCGGGTGATTGCGCGGCGGGTTTTTGCGCGCCGGGTGTTTGCGCGCCAGCTGAGAGCGCAATAGAGAATGCGACGAGCCAAACGGCTGAGGTGAAACGAAGGGGGGTACCGAAGTTGGCGTCGACGTCATTGATGACGTAAGAGGCGTTCTTGGGAGTTACGACGACGATCGCCGCCGAGGCTGGCAGCGCGCGGAGATGTAACGTCGCGCACCATGTGATTATAGCGAGGCACGATAACAGCCGACTGCGTCGCGCGCTCATGCTGGCCTAACCTAGCAAAACTTATTGTGCAACGTAGCGGCGACGGGAGTAAGGCGAGCGGAATAGGGTAAGCAAGGCTCGGGAAGTGGGGCTTTACAACAGGTTAACTCCAGAGCTCGTGTCAGCTACTGCGTGTCTGCAACTAGTACAAGTCAGCAAGTTTGTTAGCAATTTGCTGTTCACTTGGGTCTGCTACCACTTTAGGAGGAGCAATGCATGTGCGTGCTTGCCGAGCCGATATGAGAACGTTCAAAATAATTCTGTTCGAGTGATGAGCGAAGAGCGCTTGCTGTGGGATGACAGGTGGGATGGGAATTGAGGTGGGAAGGCGTGTGTGGTGTGACGACGAGATGAGACTGCATGATAGTGCTCGGGAATGAGCTGCGAGATTATGATGAAATGGGAGCAGCTAGAGCACTCTGGCTAAAAAGCTGGGCCCAGCTGTGAGGCACATTCCAAATCCTAGGTTATGAGGGGTGAGCGAGCGCGCTAGGTGCAAAGAGGGGGGCGACTTCGATTCGAGGCGAGGGGGAGAAACGCGCGTCGCGCGAATGACGCGGAGAAACCGAGGCGGGGGAGGGGAGGGGAGGGGAGAAGCGAAAAAGGAAACCAGCAGGCAAGGAACTTTCTTTGAGCCAGCAGCGGATGTGGGGCGGAGATGCAGCTGGCGTTTCCCGCGGAAGCATGCGCGGAGGAGACGAATGCTGCTGTAGTTCCCCCAGCCCTTGCCATAGGTATGGTCTGTAGAAAGGCCCTTGCTGTGGTTGGTGCGCCGGTTGTGGTGCGGGGACTGCGCGGTCTCGAGTGGGGAAGGTTCGGGGTGGGGGAAGACAGAGGAACGAGGAAGCAGCACTGGTGAGGTGACGCCACGAGACGCGAGTTCCCTATTGGCTTAGAGGCCGTAACATTCGGAACGTAGCGCGGGAAAAAAACACTCACCGACGAGCGGAATTATTGTGGTAATGAACAGTAAACACCACCGAAATGTCAAATGAGAGCGTGTCCGAAGTGAAGCGTCGAATGGATGACGCTGGATGTCGGTAAATGTCAACCCTCGGATCGATAGTTCCGACTGCCAGGATTCGCCGACATCGGATGACGCTGGATGTCACGTTCACTTCGGACCCGCCCTGATGCAGCGTGGTATTCGATTTGTGGATGCGGAGGGAAATCTGCTTGTTGGCGGCTCTTGCGGGACATCCTCTTTGCTACAGTGCGGTGCCGCAAATGCCGCTAGTACCCACCTGATTTACACTTTATGCCTGTTTCTCTCACGCAAAAAAAACAATAAGCATTTACCAGCTGTACGCGAACAATCAGAAAAAGGGCACAAACACACCGAAATAAACCTCTGGGTACAAGTGAAGGTGAAGGTGTCAGTTTGCATTTCCGCTGGTCACACGTATAATCTGCCTGTTCGGCTTCAAATAGCATAAGTGGCTTCAAAGTGACACTTTCGAAAATAATGTGTACAGTGGCTTGTGGGCGCGAGGGGCTGGAGTTGGTGGGACAGCGTGGTGAGAACACGTGTTCTAAACCTGCGTACACGTCATGCTGATGCTACAGCCAGCATCAACCAGTTTTTCCCCCGAACGCTTCGCTGCTGCTTGTCCTTCAATCAGATTCCGCCATCTTCACAAAAGTTTGCGGGCAGATGTTGTTTCGGAAATACAGTAGCTTGCCCATGGGGGATGGCCTCTCGCCAGCTGCGAAAACACCTGAGCACGTTGGCGGCGGCACGAATACATAACCAGCCCACCGCAAAACGACGACCCTCATGTGAAAGTGGTGGTGGAGATTCTTGTAACCGCTATAAACCATATCAATGGTTAGCTTTAGTATATATGAGCAAACACATTATTACATAGCTGAGAAACGCAAGCAAATCCAGCACAGCCCTATATTAACCTAAATGATCACCAGCAAAAAACTGTCATCTTCTTGACGCAATTCCATTTGTAAGTCCTCCAAATTGAGCAGACAGAGCACCAGCACCACCACTTCCTGCCCCTTGAATCACAGCACCAGATGACCCTGAAAACTTGAACATCCCAGGCAGCATTCCTGGCATGTAAAAATGCTCAGATGCCCCACTCATGCCCATGGGCATTGGCAAGTCCATCATACCTTCCATGTCCATACCACTGGCACTGTAGTTCCCCATACCTGCACCAGCAGCACCCATGCCATGCATACCCATGCCACCCGACCCTACACCACCCATACCCATGCCTCCGCCACTCATGCCAGTCACTCCCATCCCTGGTCCCATGCCCATACCCATGTCTCCAAAGCCCATAGGCATCCCACCCATGTTCATGCCCATGCCCATGCCCATACCAGGACCCATCATGTTCACACCCATACTCGGATCCATCCCCATGCCCATGCCCATGTTCATACCCATGGACATAGCCATGCCAGGACGTGCAGCACCCATGCCCATGGCACCTGCGCTAGTACCACCCCTCACACCTGTTGCGCCCATACCTGCAGCACCCATGCCTCCAGCTCCCATACCAGCACCTCCCATCCCGGCACCCCCCATCACCACACCTGCCGCTCCCGGACGTAGACCCATGCCTGCAGATCCCGGACCTAGACCCATACCTGGCCGTGCATGCACTCCCAAGCCAGCAGTAGCTATGTTTCCTCCCATGCCCGCTCCCATTCCCATACCCCCCATCCCTGCACCCCCCATGCCTGTCCCTCCCATGCCTGCACCCAACATGCCACTGGCCAAACCACCGGCCATGCCTTGCCCTGGTTCATGACCACCCATCATGACCATGCCACCTGGCCGTGCCATCATACCACCTCCCGGAAGGCCTCTCATTGCAGGTGCCATGCCTCCCCCCGCCATGCCACCAGGCATGCCCCCCCCTGCCATTCGACCAGCCCACATGGCAGCTTGACCCCCTCCATTGCTCACCCCACCACCAACACCACCACCCCCAGCAGCACCACCGGCACCACCACCAGCGCCATTACCGGCAACAGCATCACCACCAGCGCCACTCCCAGCAGCACCACCGCCACCAGCAATGACGCCACTAGCAGCACTTGCACCACCGCTGCTGCCTGTCCCTGCTGCTCGTGCTGCAACAGCTGCTGTCAGCGCAAGCACCTCTGCATCTGTGCTCGCACCCACTCCCTTCCCTGCACCACCACCACCCACGCCTGCCCCCAACCCACTCGCTGACCTTGCTGCCGAGCCTGCTGCCTCGGCTCCTGCCTCAGACACCGCACCTCCTGCCGAGCCTACAGCTGCTCCGGCCATGCCTGCCATGCCTGGCCAGGCACCAAAGGCGTTTAACCCAGCCATGCCAGTCAGCCCAGTCAAATCGGTCAACTCGGTCAACTCAGTCATCCTGCCTAGACCGCTCAGCCCAGCTTTCCCGTTCATGAGCCATGCACCAGCACCAAGAGTGCCATTACCAGCACCAACAGCACCAGCAGTAGCCGCAGCAGCAGCAGCAGCAGCAGTGACATTACCAGCAGCAATGCCATTACCAGCAGCAGCAGCAGCGTTCCCACCTACAGAGACTGAAGCATCAGCAGCCGCACCTTCGCCTGCTACACGCCCAGCACTTGCTGCCACGGATGTAGCACTAGCCGCTGTAGCACTAGCTGCTGTCGCACCAGCTGCTGTAGCCCCAGCAGCTGCAGCGCCCACAGTTGTAGCAGCAGCAGTTGTTGTTGCAGCACCGGTTGTAGCAGCAGTGGTTGTAGCGCCAGCGGTTGTAGCGCCAGCAGTTGTTCCAGCAGCAGCAGCAGCGGCTCTCGCAGCAGCAGAAAACTGACTGGAATAGCCAGCAGCAGCATCAGCAGAACCAGCCAACCCACCACCACCAGCAAACTGCGGCAGGTACTGCAGCGGCGGCGTCGCAGACAACCCAGCTGGGAGATTCCCAGGGAGATTAGCAGGAAGATTGGCAGGGAGATTCGCAGGGAGGGGCAGCGCACCCGGCTTGGCATCCTCTGGCAGATCAAACCCGGAAATTCCAGACCCAGAGAAGCCCGGCCACGCAGACATCATGTGCGACATCATAAAGAGCTCCTCCACATCCCCCCCGCCCAGAGGTACGTTCCCCAGGCCCATCTCCCCTCCCGCTCCCACCCCACGGGGCAGGTTGCCCCGCATGCTGCTGGGTAGGTCTCCTGCTAGGGCGCGGGGAACGTCGCCCCCTAGGCTGCTGGAGCCTCCGCGCATGGCTGTGAGGAGCGCCTGGTGGTTGTGCGCCAGGAGGTGGTGGTCGGGGTGGGCAGCGGAGTGCAGGGCGGAGTGTGGGCCAGAGGCCGTGGTGGGCGCAGGGGACGACTGGGAGCGAGGCAGTGAGGAAAAGGCTGGTTGACTCTGGAGTCCTGACGGGGTTGATGCTGATTGCGATGCCGATGCGTTTGCGTTTGCGCTGGCGTTGGCGTTGCCGTTTGCGGATGCTCCTCCTCCTCCTCTTCCTGCTGCAGCAGCTGCAACAGCGGCGGCTGCTGCTGAGGCTGAGCTCGCGCCAGCAGCAGCAGATACAGACGCTGGGCCAGGTGAAGCACCTCCTGCCTCCTTGGCGCCTTCTCCTCCCTCCCCTCCTCTTGCTCCTCCGCCTGCCGCTCCTGCTTCTCCTCCTCCTCCCCCACCACCCCCTTCTGACTGCAACCTCTGTGCGCTGGCGCTGTCACGGACGCCCCGTTGTTCCCCTGCATCAGTTGCTGCCTCTCCACCCGCTTCTCTCTTGTGTTGCTCATAAGTAGCGCCACCAGCAGCAGCGGCAGCAGCAGCAGCAACAGCAGCAGCCGCCAGCACCACCATCAGCAGCACGAGCAGCATCAGCACCTCTTGCATCGTCTGCACCGGATGGGCTAGACCGCACATCATGCAACGCTTGCGTCTCACTCGCATCGTTCACCCCAATGACCCCGTCAATCCGATCTCGTCCACCACCTGACGGCCTCGCCTCTCCCCCTTCCACCTCCATTCCCACAGCACCACCACCCTCCGCTGCTCGTTCCTCTGCACTCCTTTGGACAGCAGCTGTAGCATCTGCGCCCTCCCTACTCACTTCCGCCCTGCCCACCTCCGCCCTGCTTACCTCCGCCTTCGCATTGCCCGCAGCACTCCCTGGCCTTTGCTCCGGGGCCTGTGTCTGCCTTGTCGCATTCTCCTTGCCCTCTCGTGATCCATCTGCTGCTTCAGCTGCGCCTCCCTTGGAGTTGGCCATTTCTGACGACGACTTGTCCTTTGCCTCCCGGCTCCCTGCTGCCGCTCCTGCTGTCGCATCTGCTGCTGCTGCTGCCGCGTCTGCTCCTTCTGCCGTGCCGCCTGCTGCCTCTGTCTTTGCTGCGTCTGCTGCTGCGTTTGCGGCTGTTGCTGGGGCGTCGTTACCGCCCGTGCCTCGCTTGAGTTGCATGAACGCGTCCTGGGGCAAGAGAACGAGCGAACCACACTCAATACACGTCTGAGATTTTACAGTCGACTCAAAAGTCCCCTCTGCGGCGTCGTTGGTGCCTGCCCGTGCCTCACATGAGTTGCATGAACGTGTCCTGGAACAAGAGAACGAGCGAGATGAAGGCTGGGGTGCAGTGAAAGCACACATGGCATCCGACTAACTCCACGCACAAGCACGCGGAAGCCGATGTAGACTGTTTTTGAGAATTCTCAAAAACAATCTACATTGAGATGAAGGCTGGTGCAGTGAAAGCACACATGGAATCCGAATCATTCCACACACAAGCACTCGGAAGCCTCGCACAAGCCTCGCGGTAACAGCGAGGGCAAGGAATGGAAAAGACGAAGGCTACGAGCATGGGGAAGGGGAGTGCGCGCACAGACGCATCGGAAGCAGACTGCGCGATACAGTCGTAGGGCCCAGCCTGACCAGTCATGCTGCGGCCTCCACAGCTCGACCAGTCAAGTACTATGACACGGCTTACATGCTGCTGAGATTTGGGGTTTGTGAGGTCGCTGGGAACACGACAGGGGATAGGTCAGGTGGAAGGAAAGCGAGCACGAAGACAGTACTTACATGCTGCTGAAACTCGGGGTTGGCGAGGTTCATGGAGAGGTTTCGCATGAGTAGCAGCACCTGGGGCGGGGAGAAGCAGACAGCAGGGGAAACGCGGAACAGAGAGACAGACGACTTTTGAGATGTCTCAAAACTCGGGGTTGGCGAGGCTCATGGAGAGGTTCCGCATGAGCAGCAGCACCTGGAGGGGGAGAGAGAAGATGGGACGGAAAGAAGGGGTGAGCGGAATCGACAGGAGACACGCGGCGAACGGATGGGCGGACGGAAGGAGACTGGACGGCATACGTGAAGAGAGAACGCGCGCACGGATATGTTTGCGACTAACGTCAAGAGAGACCAACGTGTAGGGCGAGCGCGGATGCATGCGAATCACGGTACAGGAGGGCTCATCCTTCGCCCCCCTTGAGCGAAGAATCTCCGCCCAAGTGATGAGTCGTAGAGCTCACGGTTCCGTGGTTTCTAACACGAGCTACGGGCGCGCGACTCACGGTTTCGCGGTCGATGGGCGCCATGGCCTTGAGGTGTGCGAGGTGGCCCGAAGGACCACCGTCGAGGCGCCGGGACTGTGCTGTGCTTTCGTGGCCGCAACTAGTGCGTACACACAAGTGCCACCATTTCGCGGTTTTGCGATTATGCGGTTACGCGGAGTCTACAACGAGCAAGGGATTGCGAGACTCACGGTTTCGCGGTCGATGGGCGCCATGGCCTTGAGGTGCGCGAGGTGCCCTGACGTGGACGGGTCGAACACGAGCCCTATGAAGCGATATACCTCCGCAAAATCCGGGGTTGCTGTGAGGGCAAGAATGGGGGCGGACGAGGAAGGACGGAAGGGAAAACGAGTGAGGAGAGAGGTTGAGCGGAATAGCGGGAGGAAACGGAGATGAAAGAGGGCGAGGAAAGGAGAAAAACAGAGAAAAAACGCAAGGAGTTGGGTAAAGAGAGAGAAAGAGGGGCATCGCCGCATGAAAGAAATGAAACACTGTTCCACTCAGAGGACATCAACGCGAGTTAGTGTGCGGGCAGCGCGCAAAGCATCCTTACCTCGAACTTTCTGCTCGCTGGCGTTCCCCGTCGACTGTTGTCGCTGCTTGGTTGGCGCACGGGAAGGGGCAGGACAGGGCGAATAAGGGGCTACAATATGAGACGCGACACTCGCAGGCGATCATGGCGACGGAAACGGCTCGGAAGCGGAAGAGGCGCAGAAGCGAGAGCACGGAGGGGAAGCGATTACGTGGCGAGGTACGCAGGGGCTGATGAAGCCGCTGAGATGGGGGGACGGTGCGTGCGCGCGGAATGCGCGCAGTAAGAAGCAGAGTGAGAGCGAAATGCGCGTAGTGGGAAGCAGAGTGCGCGCGAAACGAGCATGGGGGAAAGCTCCGTGGGCGCGGAATCAGAAAAGTGGGAACGAGCATGCACGGGAGGCGCACCTGGGCTTGCGCCATCCACATGGCCCCCGCAGCACTGGTGCCGCCGCCCATTTGCGACGCCCCCGCCATCAGCCCCTCCGCCATGGCCCCCATGCTCGCCGCGCCGCCGCCTGTACCCCGCACGGATGGGCGCATGAAAGAACCGGATCAACTAAGTTGAAGAAAAAAATCAGATCTGCAACAGCTAATAACAAATCCTAGACCGAGCGCGGGGACAGACGAGGCAGCGACAGCCAGATAACTGGTTCCCAACAAATGCAGACCGCAACAAAACGCTCTCGCCTTCGACCGCAACAGAACGCTTTCGACAGTACGAAATGCTTTCGACCGCAACAAACCGCTTTCGACCGCAACCAGAAGAACGACAACAACGATAGCCACTGCAAACGCCACATTCACGCACCTCTGGCAGCAAGCGAAACGGCTCCTGGCGGATGCATGCCGTGGTGCATCCACGCACTCGTCCCCGCCATCCCCGCCATAGCTGTCATTCCCGCCATCCCAGTCATCCCCGTGATCCCCGCCATCCCCGCCATTCCCCCCATCCCCCCCACCCCCGCCATCCCCGCCACCGGCCCCATCCCCGCCAATCCCGCCATCCCCGCGCCTCCCCCCGCCGCTGCCGCCGCTTCGCCATGACTCCCCGACACTCCCAGGGACGCCAGAGACGCGCCGACGGACCCGCCGAGCCCGTGGCCCAGACCCGACATGCTCATTGCGGCCATGGCGGACGGGGTGGAGGAAGATGGTGATGCTAGGCTCGCGGCGGAAGCGGAGGGGATCAGCGATCCCGGCGGGAATGGGGACGGGAGCGGACCGGGCAGTCCCCCGCCTGGAAAATTGGGGTTTGCGTCGCCGCATGCTGCGAGGTGTGGTACCGCGGAGGGGGCGTGGAGGGAAGGGATTGAGTCGGTGGGGGCGACGGAAGGGGAATTGAGATGCGGAGGAGGAGAGGGGAGTGGGGATAAGGGAGCACAGGTGTGGGTGGGTGAATTGGGGAGAAGGAAACTCCGCAGGCTATGTTTGGGAAACATAGCACCATCAAACTACGAAGGGTGACGACTGATACTGGTCTTAGGTTGTTACGACAGGGAACCACAAAATGCTACGAATATGACTTCGAGAATTCTTGAATTTCTGCCAAACCATGTGAAATTCCTGCTGGAAGAAAAAGAACGCTAGGCGCAACGCAAACCGGCTAGAGGCGAAGCTGCGAAGAAAAGCACCTCTTCAATCTGAGCTGATGGCCTTCTGAGGGTATGGCGATGAATTCTGAGTCGACTCAAAATTTACCTCAGTCTCATGACACAACTGGCTAGAGGGGAAGCTGTGATGGAAATTACCTCCCGATTTCGAGCTGGTGGCCTTCTGAGGGTACGGCTGCGTGGATTTGCGCTTCGGCCTCGGCGGGGGTACGTGCTCTCCCGTGCCGTTCTTCTGAACCTTGAGAAAGTACTTCTGCGCGTGGCTCCTAATCTGCGGTACAGAAAATTTCGTTAGAACCACTTCGATGTCGTATTGTTCTATGTAGGCATGATTGATCAGGTTCGCAATTTGCAATTGACGTAATGCTATCCTAGTGAAGAATCTTGGCACGGTATGGCAAATGATTCTAAAAAAAAAAACTCAAGAATTCTACCACCGACCTGAATCACCGATTTGGTTCCGACGAACGACTCTATCTTCTTCCAGTCCCGGTCAAATCTGTGAACGGACACAGAACCATGACAAATATACTAAATTACTGAGCGTCGCTAAGAATTGCCGGAAATAGTAAAATATCCATGATAAAAGAAGAACGTTGTACTCAAAAGGAACTACAATTAGGACATACAGCTGCAAGGCTTCTAGGAATTTGTCATGCTCCTGCTCCGTCCAGCTCTCCCTAGACTTGGTGATCGTGTACGGCTTCCGAATCTTCTTCTGCCCGTCGTCCTGCGACGCCGACTGGCTTACGGATGCTCCTACGCTATTCATCTTTACTCGACACTAACGCGAAATGCAGCACAATCAGGCACGATAGAACATATCCCTTAGCTTCTTGAACGGTGCGGTCAAGCTATGTTACTTCAGAGACCTTTCAATTCGGTCGTCCTAACCGAAGGCAAGAAGGAAGAGAGCTCTCAAGATCGCTGAGTTAGGGTTACGACAGGCTTTCATCGCTGGCCTGACTGTAACTGTGCACTCACTCGTGAAACTTCAAGGTGGTCCAGTTTAGTGCGTGGAGGAGAATGACTCGGATGCCATTTCATGGCGAGACAGACAATCAGGCACACAAACACACCCTTTCAGTCAGCAAAAGAAATGGCTACCGTTGCTCGTTCCCTTCACCTTCGGCAACTTCAAGGTCTGGTCTAGAGGGATGGGCAAGAACGGAAAAAGGACCGTGAAAGCCAAAAATAGGGTTTGAAGGGGTACCGACAAGTGACCCAAATCTCTAAGCCTCACGGACGGTCCGGATTCGCCATCAGATACTCACCACAATTCCCAAATTGCTGGAGCTGCCCGTGTCCTTTCTTCCCTCTTGATGCAATCATTTCGACACACGAGAGCCCGACAGCACTGCTCTGAAGCTGTGCGGCTGTGAAGATTTCAACAGGCAGACCTCGCCCGTGAATGGTTGCGGATGGCTAACCTGACCGGGAAGAATCTTTGAACGAAGTCTGGCCATTCGTTTGCCTCACCGCATGTCAACGGGCAATGGCAGCCACAACGAAAATCTTCAAGAACAAGCAGATCACCTCATGGTCCATGAGATCACCGCTATTGATTCGTTTTGGGGAAATGGAGTTGTGTTGTTGTCCCACGTTCATCCCACAACAGTGTGCATGCGTACACCTAGTTCTCGATAAGTGCACAGCCCCTTCCCTCCGTTTGTTAGACACCCTAAACCTATTCTGGGTCGATACGACGGACCCTCAGAAATTCAAGGACTATCAATCGACATCACCACGGTGCAGCCGTTAAAGACTTGTGTAATGTATTTCGACTGAGGAGGAGGAGGGGGATGAGGTGTCCTGGAGTTCTTGTTGCTTTCCGCAATTCGCGATAGGGATGCGGAAAGTCCCCCAGATGTTTCTACCTACGCAGTGAACTACCCTGCGAAAAGGTTTTACCCAGGAAATGTACCCCTGGGCTGTGCATTTAAGGGGTGTGTAATTATCGAGAACTAGAAGTATGAACACCACCCTGACAATACACACAGTTTCTCGCAATACTGACTGCGGCTGTACGTAGCTAACGGTTTGTATAACACTAGCACGTCCAGCAAGGTCCTAGAACACAGCATATAAACACAATTTGCCGCACTCAACCGTACGTAATAGCTTGGTTATCCTATGAACCTTTGTTTCTACTTCACTTGGGGGAAATTTTCTCGTCACCTTCCTTGGGTAAAGTTAATAATAATCAGCACTTCTCCTTATTGTTATAACATTGCGAAACAGGGGCCTTATTCAGATCACGCATCATTTTATCCATTTGCATGACAGATTAGAGGAAGTCATAAAACTGACACTACACGTGTCGCGCAATCACATCATTGGTCCGCATCACTAATTCATCACATCATTGGCCTGCACTGTTACAATCTGAAGTGTGACTTAGCGAAGAGGATCGTTCAGGGTTGATCGCAGGTTGTGTCGCAGCGGAAGTAGTGAACTCAGGTCAGAGTGAATGTAAATGACTGAGATTGATAATAGCATGCATACATAGGGTTTATATAGGAATACAAAGGAATGCGAAACGACCTAGACTAGCCGTATACTCTAAGGAGTACATTCCCTTATTGCAGCGAAATTCAAACCGTGCGGCGCGGGAATCGGTTTCAAACCTGTTCCCGCTCTTTTCACTTCAAGTGTTTCTGCTTGCATCGGTCTTGGTCAGACGGTTGCTGTGTCGCTTCGACTCTTCTGACTTCTCGACTTCGTACTCGGTAGAGTCGGCTCTGTCAAACATTATATGTTTATATGATTGTAGGCTGTAGTGGGTTACACCTTAGGGGGTACACTAGATTAGGGTTTACTACTTGTATCCAACTTTGTGCTAGTACAGTCATTCCTGTCCGTTCATTCTGACATGGTTTCAGAGCAGGTCCTTCGCTAGGACCGTTTTTTTTAAGGGCCCACCGTTCCCTACCTACCTACCTACCTACCTAGGGCGCCTCGAACTTTTTTTACGGCCCCTACCTCCCGCGACCCGCGACCCGCCCCTTAAGGCCCCGTCGCGCCGCCCCTTAGCCGCTCGCGCGCGGTCCTTTTTTTTTCCCGCGCGCGCCTTATTTCCCTCGCGCGCGGCCCGTCGCCTGCTCGCGCGCGCCCCGCAGCCGCCCGTCGCCTGCTCGCGCACGCCCCGCAGCCGCCCGTCGCCTGCTCGCGCACGCCCCGCAGCCGCCCGTCGCCTGCTCGCGCACGCCCCGCAGCCGCCCGTCGCCTGCTAGCGCACGCCCCGCAGCCGCTCGTAGCCTGCTCGCGCACGCCCCGCAGCCGCCCGTCGCCTGCTCGCGCACGTCCCGCAGGCCCGCAGCCCGCTGTCGCAGCGGCCGCCCGCCCGCAGCCGCCCGTCGCCTGCTCGCGCACGCCCCGCAGCCGCCCGTCGCCTGCTCGCGCACGCCCCGCAGCCGCCCGTCGCCTGCTAGCGCACGCCCCGCTGCCCGCAGCCGCTCGTACGCCGCTGCTTCCGCTGCTGCTTGCGCACTGCTGCCTCCCGAGCGCCGCCGCTGCCTGTGCGCCGCCGCTGCCCGTGCGCCGTCGCTGCTCCTACGCTGCCGCTGCCCGTGCGCTGCCGCTGCCCGTGCACCGCCGTTCCCAGTGCGCCGCTGCCGCCCGTGCGCTTCTGCAGCCGCCGCCCGCGAGGCACTCGCTCTCACTGTTGTTTATCTTCTACCTACCGCGCACACTGCTGCCACTGCAGCTGCCACCAGTGCACCGTTGCAGCTCCTGCTGCCACGCTACCTACTACTGCCGCTCGTGTGCCACTACGGACAGTCGACCCCGCCCGCGCCTTGCCTAGCGGCCCCGCCGGCCCCGTTGACCCTCCGCACACCTTTTCAGCGGCCTGATTCCTACTACTACTGTTACTACTGCTACTGTCACTATGGCTAGCCCGCCAGTTCTAGCTTTCGATGCCGAGGGCCGTCCAGTGAAGTTCGAAACCTGGCTAGATGACCTGCACCTGTTCCTACAGCTCACTGCCAAGGAAGATATCTCACTGTACGACCACGCCCTAGGCCATGCCACTGCCCCTGACTCGACTGCTGACAGCACTCTGCGTTCCCAGTGGCAGACCCGTGATGCGCACGCTCGCTTTGCTATTCGCAACTCCCTGCCGCTAGACGAGCGCGAGCACTTCGGCCAGTGCAAGACTGCTAAGGACCTCTACACCGCTGTAGTTGCCCGCTACTCCTCGCCCGCTTCTGCCACGCTAGGCCGCCTCACTCTCCCCTACCTGTTCCCCGACCTAGCCTCCTTTCACACTGTCGCAGACCTCATCACCCACCTTAAGACTAGTGAGGCCCGCTTTCGCGCTGCTATGCCTGCCGAGTTTCTCACTAGCAACCCCCCCCCGCTCTGGATCACTCTCTACCACATCGTCACCCGCCTTCCTGACTCTCTGCGCGCAGTCAGGGACCACTTCCTCTCTCGCTCCCCCACTGAGCTCACTGTTGCCCTCCTCGAGAAGGAACTGCTTGCAGCTGAGGCGAGCATCGTCGCTGTAGGCACCTCTCGTGGCGACCCCCGCACCCCGTTCTTTGAGGGGTGTTCCCCTTCCCCCCTCCTCCCCTCTGTCGCCTCTGCTGCTGCTGTCGACCTTCTTGGTGCTGAGAAGGTCGGGACCGCGTCTGCTTCGAGTGGGCGCCGCAGGAACAAGGGGGGCAGGGGTGGGGGTGGCGGCGGAGGAGGTGGGGGTGGAGGCGGTGGGAGTGGAGGCGCGGCTGGGGAGACTAGTGGCGGCAGTGGGGGAGGAGACAGCAGCGGTGGGAGTGGTGGTGGAGGCGGCAGCGGAGGCGGAGGTGGTCGTGGCGGCGGCAGGGGTGGAGGTGGCCGGGGCGGCGGCGGTGGGGGTGGTGGTCGTGGAGGCACTGGCGGAGGGCAGAGTCAGCAGCCCGCCCCGACGCTTCAGGCCGCCCGTGAGTGGTATGCGCAGCGTAGCTTTACCTGCACGTACGTCATTCGCACAGGTGACCGCAGCGGCCAGCAGTGTGGGAGGCCGCACCCCACGCAGCGCTGCTTCGCGCGCCTTAACGACGCGTGGCGCACTCAGTTTCCTGCTGCCACTGAGCTGCCGCGCTGGGCTGATCTGGAAAAGAGGGGTGTTGATATTTGGGCTTTAGACTTTGATGCTATTCTCACTGCCATGTATGCGATGTCTATTAGTGGAGAGGGTGCTCAGTACTTGCGTGTTCCGCCCGACCCGGGCATTCAGGCCAGTCCGGCTGCCGCTCTAGGTGCTAGTGCGTCTCCTCCCACAGGTCCTGGTGGGGCTGCAGCCCTAGGTGCTCGTGCGTCCGTGCCCCCTGGTACTGAGTCGACTGCAGCACTGCACACCTTCACCCTGGACTCAGGTGCTTCTCGCTCTTTCTTTTGGCACCACCGCCTTGGTCACCCGTCTGTGCAGCGCCTTCGGGCCATGCACAAACGGGACCTTGTTGCTAGTCTTCCCAGGGTGCTCCCTCCCCTTCCAGCCTCGCCTGCTCCTCCCTGTCTTCCCTGTGTCGAGGGGCGGCAGCGCGCCGCTCCTCACTCCTCCTCCTTTCCCCCGACGACTGCTCCTTTGCAGACGCTCCACATGGACGTGTGGGGCCCAGCCCGCGTCCGTGGCCAGGGTCAGGAGAGGTACTTCCTGATTGTTGTTGACGACTTCTCGCGCTACACCACGGTCTTCCCCTTGCGCACCAAGGGTGACGTCCCTGATGTCTTGATCCCTTGGATCCGCAGATCTCGTCTCCAGCTCAGTGAGCGTTTCCACTCCGACTTCCC